CTTGGGCAACAGCCAGTTTAACATTTTTTTCCTGCGCTTGACGTGTAGCTATTATAAAGTAATAAGAATCGATTTGTCGTGCATGGCAGCTAAGTGCACCTCCATTATAAACAGGGAGTGTCTTTGTTGTTTTCTCTTTAACGAGTTGTTTTTTTAGGTCTGCGCGTGCCATTATAATCTTTGCTTGTATTGCCCTCTCCTCCGCAGAGGCCTCTTTGTGTCCTAGAGACACTGGGGTGAGGGGAAAAAGAAAGCGTGAGGGGGACGATGGGAAGGGGGAAGAGTGGAAGCGAGTCTCCTGCCTTTTCCCTCTTCCCATCGACCATCGCGTGCTTGTTCTTTTTGATTATTGCTGATTTAATTGGATTAACCAGAGGGACGTTTTTTTTTTCAGTCATATTAGGAAGTACCGTTAAATTCCGAATATAAGCCCCTCATTGTATAAGCCCCCCCAAACTCGTAACGCAAAAAATCCTCCGTTAAATCGCCCCGCCAAATATAAGCCCTCAGGGGGCTCGTACTGGAAAATTGCCCTTAAATACAAAGTGAAACAAAGCAAAAACAGTAATTTACTTCCAACTATAAAGCTAGTCCAATAGATTTTGAAACGAGAATTTCCCTCCGTACATACGCCTCTCCGAATATAAGCCCCTCCAAACTAAGCCCCTCAAAAAGGGCCTTTGAAAAATGTAAGCCCCGGGGCTTATTTTCGGAATTTTACGGTATCTTGATTACACAGTTTCCTTCGAATATGTACCGTGACAATGAAAATTTAAATCCAACTAAGGTTATCCAAAAGACGTTTTTAAAAAAGTAAAAAAAGAATAAGCCAAGTAAAACGATGAGAATAAAAATCCAAATGAAAAAAAAAAAAAAGGAGGAAGAAAGGAGGGGAAGTTGAGAATAAAAATCCAAATGAAAAAAAAAAAAAAGGAGGAAGAAAGGGGGGGAAGTGAAAAAAGCAATGTTTGCCCTCCTAGTTTTTATATTGGTTACTTTGGAGATAGTTTTTGGCCGAAAAAAATGCATAACGGAAGAGGTCTATTTGGCGTTAGTGTGTTTAAACTGATTCGGCTAGATATATATTTTATTGCTCCGAGGTATACGTAACGAACAAGGAATCCAATGATTTAAGTGCTACTTTCTTGTAAAGCACGCGTTAAGACAAGCTACTGTCCAGTTACTTAGGCATGTGGCTCGCTCGCAGTTTGATTACATGTACACTGTCCTCTTAACACTGACATCGTGGCTACTGACAGCCAATCTAATAATAAACAAATTTCAAACCAATAGCGTGTCCAAACTGATATAAAATTCAACATATTACGTCATGCAATTCATTTCTCGAAGGCACTCATTTTGGAAGGCGAGTTGCGTAGTGGTAAGTACAAAGCAACCGATTGATCTTGTATTTTAAGGCACTTGTCCTTTCTCTTTAGAACGATTAAGTACTTAAGGTTTTGTATTTACTTCTGGTATATACCTAACAAAGACACATTCAAACGTTTGCTTAATTATTTTACGGGCTGTAGTTTCAGTTGCGGTTCAATGAAAGCAGAAAACGAAAGCGGAAGTATAGTTAATCGCTGGTCATAGTGCATACATATATCGAAACACGCTGAACATTATAAATTAAAAGAGAAGAAAAGTGCTGTGCTTGATAGAAAGGTGTCCTTCGTTTGGTTATAAATGCAGTAAACTCTTAATCAGCGAAAATAAGCTTTATATATGGACATTAATTATGTTTACAGTTAAAAACTCTCTGATGATCGTAGCGAAACTCAGCAGCGACACTAAATGACCGGCAGTCCTATATTCAAAATACATTTCGCTTGACTTTTCTTAATCGACATATGATAGTTTGGTTTGGCTAGATTATTTCGATCTGTGAAATTCAGGAAGAATATAGGACTGCCGGTCATTCAGTGTTTTGAAAACCTTGACCGGCAGTCGAGCTGAAAAAAGTTCTAAGTGTCACGGAACATTGTTTCGTCTTCTGAGATCTTCTGAGCCCGGCGTAAACCAAACGCTACACTTGAGATGTATAAAGTATTTCAGGATCGCTTGACTTTTCTTATTTTAATCGCCATATGATAATTTACATTAGCTGGGATTTTTCTATTTTGTGAAATTTATGGAGAATATAGGACTGCCGGTCATTTAGTGTTTTGAAAACCTTGACCAGCAGTCGAGCTGAAAAAAGTTAAGTGTTACAAACCACGGTTTCGTCTTCTGAGCCCAGCGTGAACCAAACGCTATTCTTGAGATCTGTAAAGCATTTCAGGATCGCTTGACTCTTCTTAATCGACATATGATAGTTTGGTTTAGCTGGATTTTTTTAGATTTGTGAAATTTACTGAAAAGAAAGGACTACCCGTCACTTAGTATTTTGAAAACCTTGACCTGTTACCGGCCATATAGCCACAGCGTTTTGAACAAAAAGCAACAAAACCGGGACCGGACTGGATAACCAAGAAGAAAAGAAAAACTTACCGTCTGCCAGACGAAAATCCGGCTGTTTGATGTGATTTTTGGAACATAACGGATCGTTAATTTTTTTTTTGTTTAACACGGAGAGCATGGAAAGACTTTTAGGCAGACATGAGTTGATCTGATTACAAACTCTTGGTTATTTCCACTAATTCGTCAGAAGCAAAAACCTACTTGCTTGTGCGTTGCTTGGTTTTGACTTGTATTGCACTCTTATTGGAATATATTGAGGCAGCACCAAACAGTTAGTGTATGAATCCACCTGACCTCAAATGCAGCAGCAAAAAAATCATTTTATTGTTAAGACCTTTAATATTGAGAGATATGGATCCATTTTCAATTCCTGATAAATATAACTTTCACGGGGATCACGAACTGCCCTGGGCCCAAAAGAGATGCAGAATAAATCAAATGGAACAACTTGAGTCTTTCTGCCATAAATTAAAGTTTGAAGTATGTAAACAAATGTCGGCTGAAAAAATTTATTAAGTGTTTTAGCTGAGAAAGAACAAGACTATGCGAAACTCAGTGCCGATTAAAGTTACATCAGACTATTTCAGTTGAAATTGTGAAAACTGAGTCAAAATAACAGGTATTACTTTCTATAACTTCGGGCCAAAATAAGCTAGAAGCTCAGACCAATTTGCATATCTTTATTACTTTGTTTCCGCTGAGTGATTGGTCAGTCTTAAGTTTGTTTTCTTTGTGTATAAAATATTTCCCAAGACTCAAGTGCATTCATTTTAACATGGTTAACAAAGTGACAGACTCATAATCTTAACATTTGTCATCGATCAGTCCATATCTATCGACCTCAATCGATGTGGCATGGCACAGTTTTTTGGCATTACTTTTAAGGCCTAAAACCACATAGGATGGAAAGGCTGTACCAGTTGCAACTAGAATAATCTGGGCCAACGTTTCCAATGCGTTTCTGACTTTATCGAGTTCAATTCTTATTTTCTTGGGGAATTATCACAAACTGATCGCGCTCACCCTTTCTTTTTGGGCGAATCGCTGGATATTCTGAGCGAGGATATCAACGTTGTCTCCAAAATGTCCACAGCTCAGTGACCGTGACTCTGGCGTCTTTTTTTTCTGTCGCAAGCTTCTGGCGAACAATTCAATAGACGCTTTGATTTTTAGTTCATAACTGAACTTTGGCTTTTCATAGTGCGGCGTACCAATGATAATACACGCCCGCACAAGTTAGAAGAAAAATAAATTTGAACAGACAGAACAGACACGACAACGTTGACATCACGACTTTCTACTCGATCATATTTTGGCAGTTGCGTTATTGTTAATTAAATATCCATTCTATTTGCGTTAATTTCGTGCCCTGTCAACTGATCAGTTTACAACCTCTAAACAAGCCCAATTTGTATTGACCAACAAACTCAATTCTAACTAAGTCATCCATTTGTCACAATTTTGGCATTGACAAGAGCAGTTCATGATCATTTACCCATGTTTTACAGCATCGATTTCATACAACATTGCTTTTTTACAAGACATTCTACCAAAATAAAGTAGTAAAACATACAGCACTAGTTTCGACGGTTCATCCGTCATCGCCAGTGTGGCATATTTCAGATGAAAATCACCAAACCGTTTAATAATTAATATTGCGCGCGATTACTAAAGTCAATTCAAAAAATCGGCTAAAGTGTACCTTGCGTGTCTGGATGGGTTTAAGCGATATCTAATAACTTGTCAAAGTTTTAACCGCCAGCTGAGAAACGTGAACAGTATCCCGTCGCTGCGCGTGTGCCAAACTTTGATTTTCTGACAAAATGTCGGGAGAGTAAGAGAACCTTGAAAAATCATCGTGCTTGGCCGAGGTCGATACTACCCTAAAACTACGCAGATTTACAGATAAATGATAAGTTTCGATTTGGGCGAAATCCGGAGATTTTATCGTTGCTTTCATTGCTTTTGGCCGGAAAAGACAGGGATGTTACTGAGCACGATGTGTTGCCACGGCGTGTTAGTAAACTTTAAACAGGTACTCCATGTTTAGGGAAAAGAGTGCAATGAAATCATTATCAATGTTTGACCAACCTTTATATGCTTCATTGCCTTGAGATTGCATTTTAATTTATATCTTTCGAAAACTTGAAAGCTTGCTAAAAAATTAACCTCTGACACGTGTTTCACAGCAGAAAACTGAGCTGTAAAGCGAGCGGAACACGCTAACGACGTTTCGAGTGTTAGCCCTTCGTCAGCATTTCGTAAGCGCTACAAAAAGTGTCCTCAAACGGCGAGGAGCGCGGGCTCGTTTCCAGGACAGCGGATGATAGTCGAGCTCAGGGGATGCTTTATAGCGGCTCCTGAAAGAGACCACTGATCTCTGTTAAGGTGTCTCTATCCAACAAATCCCATGACTGACAGTCACCAACGTTTCTTGGCGACATTTTGGCACAGTGCGCTTGAATGCAAAATACGTTCTAAGATATTAGATTTCTTCTCACCGTTTTTACCCACTCGGTCTTGCAGAAACGAGAGTCATGGATGATGTAACCAATATCGGCATAGAAATCTGTATTGGTATATCGGTTGCCGCGTTCCTTCTTACAACCAATCGCGTTCCAAAAGCCTTGGAGATACTCAAGGAATGCTTGAAACTCCTCAACAACAAAACCCTTCGAAGTAAAAAAGATTTCGTCAGATCAAAGACCAGAGTCGTTTATGTTGAAATGTTTAAAGGGTACCGTCTCATCAGCGACCACAAAAGTGCGATAGAATGCGGGGAAAAACTTCTGGTGTTGCTTCGCGAAAATGGAGAAAGAGAATCAGAAGGGTACGTCACCCACGACCTGGCAATATTGTATAATCATCAAAGAAAATATAAGGAGGCCAAGGAGCTTTTGCAAAAATCACTTAATATTATGATAGAAACTGGAAACAAGCAAGGGGAAGGAAAATGTTACGGAAACCTAGGACAGGTGTCATGGTCTCTCGGTGAAAATGTTAAGGCTAGAGAGTATATTGAGAAATCGCTTGCGTTCAGAAAAGAAAATATAAATGGCGATAAAGAAGGAGAAGCATCAGACTATTCAAACCTTGGAAATGTGTTTCAATCCACCGGTGAATATCGAAAGGCTAAAGAATGCCACGAGAAAGCACTTGCCATAATAAAACTAACTGGCAATAGAGAAAAAGAAGCGTCTTGTTACGGAAACGTGGGAATTGCGTTGCATTCTCTTGGCGAATACACAAAAGGAATAGAATGTCTTGAAAAAGCGCTGCGGATAAGAAAAGAGATTGGCGACAAAGAAGGGGAAGCGTCAGATTACTCTAACCTGGGGAGAATTTTCCAGTCTTCCCGTGAATTTGACAAGGCAATAAAATGTTACGAAAAAGCACTTCCTCTTACAAAAGATATTGGCGACAGAAAAAGTGAGGCGTCTTGTTACGGAAATTTGGCAGCATTGTTTCAGTCGGTGGGTGACTCTATCAAGGCTAAGGAATATCATGAAAAAGAAGTTGCGATCAGAAGAGAAATCGGCGACCGTAAAGGAGAAGCAGAAAGCTTGAGAACACTGGGAAGTGCCTGTGAGACTTGCGGTGAATATGTTAAGGCTACGGAATATTTCGAAAACGCACTTGCAATCGAAAGAGAAATGGGCAATAAGAGCGGGGAAGCCACATGCTATATTAACCTAGGAACCGTGTCTGACTCTGTAGGTGAATATGCACAAGCTAAAGATTATTTCGAAAAGGCACTTGCTATCGCGGTGGAAGTTGGTGACAAGAGAATAGAAGCTTCGTGTTACGGAAACCTAGGAAGGGTTTTTATTAGCCTTCATAAGCACACAAAAGCTAAAGAATATCTGGAAAAGGCACTTGCTATAAGAAAACAAATTGGCGATATTAAAGGAGAAATAGCAGATTATGGAAACCTAGGGATACTGTTTAAGTATCTAGGGGAATTCAGGAAGTCTAAAGAATACTATGAAAAAGCCCTGGCGATCGCAAAAAAAGCTGGCGACAAGAAAAAAGAGGCCTCGTGCTATGCAAACTTAGGAAACGTACTTAAGTGGTTTGGTGAAATTACAAAGGCTAAAGAATACCTAGAAAAAGCGATTGTATTGAGCAAAGAGAATGGAGATGTTCAAACAGAGTTAGCAAGCCACGCTAGCCTATCACTTGGAGAGCTACTGAAAGGCAACATATCTGGAGCTAAATCTCACCTTTTTGCTAGTATTAAAAATTCTGAGGATATACAAACCTTTCTGAAAGACAATGATAAATTAAAGATATCGGTTTTCGACAAACACTCTGACTCCTACCAGTTGCTCAGTACCTGTTACTGGCTCACCGGGAATCCTAATGAAGCTCTTTCGGTTGCAGAGCTTGGACGGGCCAGAGCCCTGGCTGACTTAATGTCAGCCCAGTATTCTGTGGAAAAACAAACATCGATCGATCCACAGTCTTGGGGTGGTATTGAAAGAATCGCGAAGAATGAAAAGAACTGTATCTGTCTATATATTTCTTACACTCTTATGAGGGATTTGTTTTTGTGGATTCTCAAAGCAGATGAACAGACAGGTTATCGTCACGTAAAAGTCAATGACTGCTTTTATAAACATGGAATAATAAGAAATGAGGATGAAATTTTTGATGACCGAATGTTAAGCAAGTTTCTTTTGTTGCCTCTTGGGCATTGTGAAGATCGATCATGGTTTTCTTCCGACGTTAGCCAACAAGCTCGAGAATCTCCAGAAACCTGCGAGGCTCGTTTTCGAAAGCCAACTGAGAAAAAAGAGCAAGATCCAGATAAGACTCTCGCTTTGTATTACGAAGTGATCATTGCTCCTGTGGCTGACTTACTTGACAAAGACGAAATAATCATAGTCCCTGATCGCTCCTTTTTCAAGGTTCCGTTTGCAGCGTTAAAGAGTGACAGTGGGAAGTACTTGTCCGAGTCTTACAGAATCCGCATTGTTCCTTCTCTTACCACACTCAAGCTCATTCAAGATACTCCAGCAGACTACCACAGTCAGACTGGTGCACTGATAGTAGGCGATCCAGATGTTGGTAAGGTTCTTTTCAAGAGGAAAGAGTGTAACCCAACGAGATTGCCTTCCGCAGAAGAGGAAGCTAAGATGATTGGGCGGCTTCTTGGAACAAAACCTTTGTTAGGACAGCAAGCAACTAAGGAGGCTGTTCTTCAAGCCATAAGTTCAGTAAGCCTCATCCATTTTGCTGCTCATGGAAATGCTGAAAGAGGGGAAATTCTCCTTGCTCCTGTACGCCCGACTGCTGAGATTCCGGAAGAAGAAGACTACTTATTGACAATGGCTGACATCGCACAAGTTCGACTTCGAGCCAAACTTGTAGTTCTTAGCTGTTGTCACAGTGCACGTGGAGATATTAAAGCCGAAGGAGCTGTTGGGATCGCTCGAGCGTTTTTAGGATCCGGTGCTCGCTCAGTTTTGGTGGCACTGTGGGCCATAGAAGACAAGGCAACAAAGCAGTTCATGTGTCGTTTCTACGAGCACCTTGCTCGTGGTGAAAGTGCCAGTGAATCTCTTCACCAGGCCATGAAGTGGATGAGAGAAAACGGCTATTCCAAAGTGGGGCAATGGGCACCATTTACGCTGATTGGAGATAACGTTAACATGGATTTTCAATAACGAAGGTAAGAAAAAATTGCTTGCTATCACTCAAGTCACTACACAGGCTTTTTACTTTTCTCGATCTTTTCAAGTTTAAAAGATGTCGCCCCAAAATCGCCCCCTAAGATTTTGCGTAAACTTTTTACTTTATTTCTCTAGGGTATTACAGTAGTCCCGAGAGAAATTGAAGACAACTCCTATGCAAAATGTGTTTTGGCAAACAAGGTGTATTATGGGAGATGTGCAAATGGCGATTATGATGGTGATGATGATGATGATGCATGTTAAGCTCATCATTTTTCCTGTCATCCGACAAGAAAAAGTGTAACAGACCAATTTCGCCATATTAAAATTCATACTTGGCTCCGAGGCTTGGGGGGTTGAAACGAAAGAAATGTTTTATTCATCGCTGAGCCTCAAGATGATTTCTTTTGTTTTTTGTTTTATCCCCCAAGCCTCGAGGCCAAGTATGACTTTACATATATATCGAAATTGGTATATTTATTCGACAAACTAAAACCTGCTAATTACGTTTATACATCAGTCATTTGGAATCCCGGTCCCTGCCCACCGGGGCATGGGGGGGGGGCATAGCTGGGATTTAACGCGGCCAATCCCGGGGGGGCGGTGGAAATAAAAACAAAATACCTGCTTGACCCAGGTCATGGGCGGGGATTTAACAGCACATACGCATTTTTGAAAGCGGGGATTTAACATGAGTGACTAAGGGAACGGCCTCTTTCCCAAGGTGGTGAAGATGGCGCCAGAAAAGAGATGATGCTACATAGATTGACATTAAAAACAAAGAAGAAACGGGGCAGGAAGGCACAAAACAGGTAGCCCTAGTCTCAGATACAGAAAGAATGTGTATGGAACGTTCTACATTGGTCGGGCATTGCCTCACAAGGATTACACAAATCTCATTTGTTCACCTCGCACGTAAACGACGACAGATTAATCCCAAAAGTGCTTTCTAAACAATCACTTCTAAATTCCTCTCCAATAATCAAAAAATCAAAATATCACTAAATTTAAAAAAAAAAAGACATAGCTTTATCGCTTAGGATCCCTTGCTCGGCCGTGTTTGGATCACAACTGCAATCTTACCTTTGCCGAACCTTCCAGAGAAAAGATAACTGAAAATGACGACGAAATACTTTAGAACAGAAGCAAAATAGAAAGATGATGATCAAACATCCGAAGATGGCACTTGATTCTGGTCAGTGTCTAGGGTGCAAAACAAGGCAAGTGGTTACCCCACAACAGTTGCGACTATTTGCACACCATGTGTTTAATATGGCAAATGGACCTTGTTTGAAAGATAGAAATGCTACGTTACATGTATTACTTACAAGTATGCCATATAGATGTCAAGCGATAACCGCATTATCCTACACTGGCTCCAGAGGTCGTTTGTCAGGAAGTAAAGGTAACAAAAAAAATCTTCTGGCACCCAGGGTAACATTTTTCATGAATTTGAAGGAACGTAGTCCAGTGTTCCAATTAACAGGTCCAATAGTTTGAATTTTAATAATTACAGAATACCAGACCGGAGAGAGCGGTTGAAATCGAGCCTAGAACAACACTGTACTTATGTCCCGCTATACGGGGCTTTTGACAAAAGACTTGGCCCAGGAAGCGGGAAAATTAGCAACCTCGTCCCCAGGGCGCTTTTCCCTGTCTTGGAAATTAGCGGTGTTTTAACACCAAACTAATTAAATTCCACGCTAAGTCCCGGTCCCGAGGTAGGGGGGTCGGAGTTTCAATTGACTGATGCATTAAGTACGCGTGACTAAAACCAGAAGTCAAAACGGTTCACTAGCTGGCTAGGCTCCGTTTCCGCCGTTCTCTCGGCTCCGGTCTTGTTCCTTCCCGAGCAGCGGTTAATAATCGAGCCTACTAGCTGGTGTGTTATTAAGAAACGATAAGAGAATTTTTTTTAAATCTAATAACCCAATTTCGATATATCAAAATTCTAACAAGACTCCGGGGCTTATGGGACGAAATAGGCCATTTGCACGATGACGTCATTTTACTACGACGACCAGAATCCTTTTTGTTTTTGCTTTCATATTTTAATTGGTAATCCCAGTGAGGTTTCGATAACAAAAGCCCTAATTTGCACAAGAAAGCAAAGTCCTGAAGGATTCTGGTCGCAGTAGTACAATGATGACCTATTGCAAAATTTTCACGACTCCATTGTTTTGCAAATTCCCAAAGAAATTCACAAAGAAAGCCAAACCAAATATATAAATATGACCAAAACGCCTCGGCACCATGTTGGAATTGTAATATATCGAACGTGGGCTATTGATTACGATATTCTGTTTCATGTTTATGTTTAAGAGGTAATAACCACTTTCACGCATAGATCCCATTTTTGATATTTTAGTTTCAGGTTATGTATGCCGACTGAACATTACATGGAGCTGATATTACCAGCCAATGCAAGTAATGCACGTACCATAGCCGGCTTAAAACTCTTATTGAGGCCCTTTCTGCTTCAAGAAGCATTTTCATTGTAACTGATCTTGATTCTATTTTTAACAATATTTATTTTTTATTTTTTTATTATTGTATGCACGACTGAATATTACTCGGAAGTCAGCGAGCTAAAAAAAAAACGTTTTCATATGACGTCACAGCGATCATATTGGTGTACCAAAACAATGAAACGATGGCCATATTAGTGTTCCCAACCAATCCTATGGGAGTTAAACACTCTTCTTATGTAAACGCTGTCTTTTGCTCCAATAAATTTGCATAGATACTGGCCAACGGAGTGAAAACGTAACGCTCTGCTATAGGAACTTTCCTTTGACGAATTCCTTCGTTCAACGGACACTTTGAAAATAAGTTTAGTAAAATCACGCCTTTCATACAGCACAGACAAACTTATAATTTATGATAAGATAGCATGTAGAAAGACGATACATTCGTTTTCTGTAGAAATAATTACTATAAAGAAATGGTATTGATTTAGTAAACCTTTTTATAACGTTTTTGAATGTTGCTTATACCCAAAAAAGTGTAGCGTGCCTCATAAAATGTTTTAGTGTTTAGACAAAAAGTGTTTGGAAGACGTTCTTATAGTAATGTATTCTTTCAGTTAACATAATGAAAATTTTATCGCGATGGGCAGTTTAACAAACACTGGTTTAAGGGCCTGTTTACATGGAAGTGGGGGACTCTAGATAGGTGAGGTAACCTCCTTAGGTGGGGTAACCCGCCTGTCCATACAATCTCTCATTTTAATGTAATCACGTTTACATGATAGGTGGGTTGAACCGCCACAAGTTACCTCACCTATCTGGGGTCCCCTCCAACTCCAGGTAAACAGGCCCTAAGCGGTACTTGGGCAACAACCAGTTTAACATTTTTTTCCTGCGCTTGACGTGTAGCTATTATAAAGTAATATGAATCGATTTGTCGTGCATGGCAGCTAAGTGCACCTCCATTATAAACAAGGAGTGTCTTTGTTGTTTTCTCTTTAACGAGTTGTTTTTTTAGGTCTGCGCGTGTCATTGTAATCTCTGCTTGTATTCCTCTCTCCTCCGCAGAGGCCTCTTTGTGTCCTAGAGAGACTGGGGTGAGGGGAAAAACAAAACATTAAGGGGACGATGGAAAGGGGAAAGATTGGAAGCGAGGCTCCTGCCTTTTCCCTCTTCCCACCGACCATTGCGCACTTGCTCTTTACTGATTGTTGCTATTTTAATTGGATTAACCAACGGGACACTTTTTTAGTCATATTAGGAAGCACTGTGTAAAATTCCGAAAAAAGCCCCTCCAAATATAAGCCCCCCAAACTCGTAACGCAAAAACCCTCCGTTAAATCGCCCCTCCAAATATAAGCCCCCCCGAGGGCTCGTACTTGGAAATTGCCCTCAACTTTATAAAGTAAAACAAAGCAAAACTATAAGGTTAGCCCAATCGATTTTGAAACGCAAATTTCCCTCCGTACATACGCCCCTCCAAATATAAGCCCCTCAAAAAGGGCCTTTGAAGAATATAAGCCCCGGGGCTTATTTTCGGAATTTTACGGTATCTTTATTTACACAGCTTCCTTCGAATACGTACCGAGACTTTGAAAATTTAAATCCAACTAAGGTTATCTCAAGGACGTTTTTAAAAAAGTAAAAATTTAAGCTAAGTAAAACGACGAGAATAAAAATCCTAAAAAAAATCCTTCCTCTGACGTCACAACAGTACAAAGAAAACTTTTCAGTATTCTTTGACAACTCATCTGGTTCCAAGATCCCTTTTAAGTCAGCTCCTCTTAACGGGCTCACAGCACATCTTCCCTTCTTTTCCGATCTAGTGTTTTAAAGACCTTTCCCGCATTACGCTCCAGTAAGCAAACATAAAAGAAATGAGGACGAGGCTCAGGTGGACAATTTCATACAAATCACTGTATTTTGTCCACCCGAGCCTCGAGTTGGTGCCGTTGTTTACAGGAATGCGGGAAAGGTCTATTGTCGGATCCAAATAAAATGATCTGCCATTGCACTTTATTCCTTTATTTCCTTTCCTTTTTTTCCCTTTCGCCTCTCATCTACTTTATCGCCACGTTTTCAATCCTGTTTCCGTTTTTCTTCCTCTAAATCTCTGTTACGCTCTCTTCTTGTGTACTTCTAACTTAATCCGAGAATTTCATTTGTTCATTATATCACCTTTTTGAAGTTTGGTCCCGTTCTTTCCCTGTAAATCAACGTTTTTTTCTTTTTCTTTTTCGCTCTCTTCTTATCCACATCATCTTTGGGATCAGGACATTTACCTTCAACTACGTAATCGTTTTCTCCCAGTTGACCTTTACGTTTTCTCTTTTTACTATTCGCTCCTTTCTCGTCCAGGTCAGTATTCGTATAAAAACAAATATCACTTAACGCCTCATCGTTTGTATCGTGCAAGTCTCCATCTTTTGCCCTCTTCTTTCTCCGCTTTTCGGCCTTGTCTCCGCAAGAATCACGTTCACCTTCGAGTTTGTAATCGTTTCCCTCCTGTAAGTCTCTGTATTTCTTTTTCCTTTTCCCTTTCTTGACTTTCTCGTAATCTTCGCAAGAACTATGTACCTCCAGTTTACTGTCACCCTCTCCATTCATAACGTTTTTCGTTCGAGTTCGAATTAAATCATCTCTGCCATCAACTACTTCATCAAATTTATGATTTTCCTCTTCAAGCATTTCTCTGTGTTTTCTCTTTTTCTTTTTCCCCTTTTTGGTCTTTTTACTGTCCCTTTTCGCCTCCTTGCACCTCTGTTTTTCATCCACCACAAAAGATTTGCGATCCAAGACAGAACTTTCGGTAGTATCAGTGTCGCACCTAAAACGCGATTATAAACAAACTGTTCTTGCTATAAAAGAATTTAAATGAAATGTTTTGAAGGGAAAGGTAGGCCAAGAAATCTCTGGGTAAGGCGAAGCTCTGCTGCGAACAATTACCCACATACATACTGATACTTTATTGTAACTCTCACAACTGAGAAGGCTTTCAAGTTACAAGGCAACATAAGATTTTAAAAAAGACAGAAAGAGAAAAGAGGAAATAAAAGAAATGGATAAAGAAGTTGAATACAAATACAAAATGATATGCATAAGCTATGTACAAATTCAGCAATTGCTCAACTGAAAGAATTAGCCTGACAATTTCTCTTATCACTGAAGCCGTTCAAAAGCTTCGCTTCTCAGGAGGAGGAGACGGCGAGACCCTCACCAAACCAACGCACACCCTTTTTTTCTGGAAATATCCTTATCAAAGTTTCCGTAAACAACCTTCTTACAATACTCAAACAAGCCTATTTCTTCTCATTAAGTTACTTGTTAGCGACTGCTGTCCTTAAGAAAAGCTTGTATCAGATAAATGATAGGGACGAACGTATGTGAATATTTGTAGTGTAGCTGGCTGTGTACACTAGGAATCTGTAGGTCAACTGTGGGAGCTACACACATGATGCTTGTTAACAAACTATCTACCGTACTTTGTCGTCAATCGTCGTTTGCTCGGGTAATTTTTTTTTTTTTCAACAAAAGGGAGCAGTTCTAGTTCCAAAAATTTTCAATGGCTCGGATCGTACTTGGCTGGTTGTGGTTTTCGTGATCTATTCGCGTTCGTCAGAACGCATCCTAATCTGGTGTTCCTGTGGCACTAAGGCGGAAATTTTCGAGCTATCACGGGCGACTGCAAATTAGCCGTCCCTATTGATGTTATCAGGGGCATCTCGGCCGGCCGGGAAACTGAACTCCTTTCGACTAAAGTGACGAACGCGAATCCGTAATCAATGATTTCCTGCTAGTATACCTTTCTTATGCCTGGAAGTTGAACAGAACAAAGCAGAAAGATTCCAGGAGATGAAGAGAACATTTCCAATTTTCCCCGGGGCAGAGTTATTATAAGCGTAATAAACTTTAACGAGTGTAAAAACAAGGAATTATAAGAGCTGGAATGTTACGCTAGATTTCATTCACTTGACGGGAGTCGAGCTACCGACTTACAGTGAGCCTAAGGATTTCCACGATTATGCTAACTTATTGCTTATAAGAGGTTAAAAACAACCATACAGCGCACGTGATGCCTTGTTTAGGGTAAATTGCCCAAGCGACTTGGCCTTAAAACAGCAGCATAAGACAGACGGAATGGTGACCAGACAAGCGCGAATACAGTAGTACACTACTGTCTTGTAAAAGACACGGCTTTCTCCTCAACACGCTAAACCAAGAAGGGCCGCATAAATCCGTTACCCCAACAAATGTTTGCGGTCCTGGATACGAAGTTCTGACTATAAGGTCTTGGCGTAGAAATTTTTGGAAATTTGGATAATGATCGATTACAAGAGGTTAACGCGCATGGAAGTTGGACTGTATTTTCCTTCTAAATTGTAAATGCTAGTCAAACGGACCGCAATCTAAGTTCTTTAAGCAACAGAGAAAGCAAATGATCGGATATCTTTACAAAGTAGTGACTACATCTGCATGCCTTTATTGTAAAAGTATGATTTCTGTAGAATGTACCTGTCGTCTGAATTCCCCATTTTTTCCTGTTTTTCAACTCGTTGTAGTTTGCCATTCAAGAGGAGTCCATGACGAGCAGCTCTAGTATTTAAACAAAACAAAAAACAAGTAAGCCAGGAATCAAAAACAGTCCTGCCCATCTAGCTTCCCTGGAAAAGTACAGCTTAGGAGGGTTGCCTGGGTTGCCTGTTACCTGAGAGAGTGGCAGACATCAAACCGACTAAATATTCAGAGCAAAAAATTATTTTATGCTAATCCCTTCAAAATTCATAACTTGATAACAAAATCAATTTGTTGCCTTCACTCCAATATTTCATTTTGTGGAGGCTTACAACTTTAAATTAAGATTTAGCTTTGTGAGAGCCAGTAAGTAAACCAATGAATATAGGGACCTAAAACATGGTTAAAATTAACATTTAAAATGATAAATTTCCATTATTTGCCCTCCAAAGTATTTATAGTACTAACGTTAGTGGAGCTGAGAAAATCCCTGAAACAAATAATTTCAATCAAACATAATGGGGTTAAGAATCCCAATATAACTGCTGGGAGGCAAACTAGTTGGCTATTTTATAATTTACAAGCGGTCGAGGATTTGGCCTCGGGACTACTGTGAACAAATCCAGCTAGCGTTCAGGGCGGGACTTGAGGCCTCTGAATTGCAAGACCACCGCTCTAACCACTCGGTCATGCTGCCTCCTGCATAATAACTTTTCTAGGAAGTGATACTGTTGATATCTCCACTGTAGCATTAAAAACTATGTTTTTGACTTACTTGTGAGCTGTTCTACCCCCACAAGCTTGGAAAAGCCTTTCATCTGGACATCTGAAAATGAAGAATAATAACAATATTTAATAACAAGAATATTATTAAAAACGGAATCATTGGATAATGCAATTCTAGAGCTCTGATTGGCTTAGCCATCATGATATATGAGCCATTACACCATGCTCTCCAAATATGGTAACTGTACGCATCTGCTCAAAATTAAAAACAAGCTGAAAATCAGTTGTTTTTACAAATAAAGTCGGACGATTCTCGACGTTTTGTGGGCATTTTTAATATATCCATATATAGACAAGATTATAGCCAACTTGGCACTATGTGCCTCGTTGGCTATCTACCATCTCATATCCAACCTGCACTCATGGAATAATTGATAAATATAAAATGATAAAAATTATTATAATATTAGTGTCATTAGTAGTATTATTATTACTACATTATTATTTTTCATGCCTTCTACTTGGGCTATGGCTGCAAAAGTCTGCTTATGGCTGTCAAACTTAAGCATGAAAATTGATTTCTAGAGATACCACCATGCTAGCTGAGATGAAAACCTTGTATCAGTTCAGATGAGGGTGGTGACATTAATATTATTTAGCCATTGGCCTTGCCTCCTTCATCCTCACCCATCAGTTACAAAGGAGATGTAAAAGAACCCAATGGATTATTTCAAAAGAGCAAAAGACATAGACCCTCATGTCCTAGCATGGGAAAACATCTGTTTCTCCTCGCCCTTCGCTGCCGGGGATGTTTCGCGCGAAGGAACGTCTGCGACTCAGCGACAGAAATTCCATACTGATGACGTAAAATCTGTCTGGAATCTGGTCAGAAGCGCTGATTGGTCGATAGAGTAGTTACATTGTTTTAGCTATTGTTTACGAATGACATACAAAAGACAAAAGGCCACAAAGGTCAAATGTAAACACAAAGAATCTCTAACAAAACAGTCAATATTTGTGGAATATAGTCTTCTCTAGAAGAAGGATTTGAGTTTTGCTGGAGGTGGTTGGCAGATAAACACAACAATTTACCAAAATTGACCAGAAGACACATAAAATAGGACAAATTTATATTTGGAACTCCATGACTACCAGACATATTATGTAAACATTGATTTGCCTCATCAGTATGGATCTTCTGCCGCTGAGTCGCAGATGTTCCTCCACGCAAGACATCCCTAGCAGTGAAGAGCAAGGAGAAACGAATGTTTTCGCAGGCTACTCATGTCCTGGTGTAACAGACTTGAGCCATTTACAATAGAGGACCACTACGGGAGTACTTATATAGTAATTGGTATTACCCACTTCAATTCAAAATATATTAGGTACAGGTAAGTATATTAATTATTCAAGATTAAGTGGCATCGCTTTCCAAAAAGGTCTCCCCTTTCAATGTGTATTTTGTTGATAAGCACTCCTCACCACCTTACATGTAACTTTCATATTTGGGGAACAATTTATTATTGTTCCTTGTAAGGAACATGTAAGGTGATGAGGAGTGCTTATCAACAAAATNTCAGATGAGGGTGGTGACATTAATATTATTTAGCCATTGGCCTTGCCTCCTTCATCCTCACCCATCAGTTACAAAGGAGATGTAAAAGAACCCAATGGATTATTTCAAAAGAGCAAAAGACATAGACCCTCATGTCCTAGCATGGGAAAACATCTGTTTCTCCTCGCCCTTCGCTGCCGGGGATGTTTCGCGCGAAGGAACGTCTGCGACTCAGCGACAGAAATTCCATACTGATGACGTAAAATCTGTCTGGAATCTGGTCAGAAGCGCTGATTGGTCGATAGAGTAGTTACATTGTTTTAGCTATTGTTTACGAATGACATACAAAAGACAAAAGGCCACAAAGGTCAAATGTAAACACAAAGAATCTCTAACAAAACAGTCAATATTTGTGGAATATAGTCTTCTCTAGAAGAAGGATTTGAGTTTTGCTGGAGGTGGTTGGCAGATAAACACAACAATTTACCAAAATTGACCAGAAGACACATAAAATAGGACAAATTTATATTTGGAACTCCATGACTACCAGACATATTATGTAAACATTGATTTGCCTCATCAGTATGGATCTTCTGCCGCTGAGTCGCAGATGTTCCTCCACGCAAGACATCCCTAGCAGTGAAGAGCAAGGAGAAACGAATGTTTTCGCAGGCTACTCATGTCCTGGTGTAACAGACTTGAGCCATTTACAATAGAGGACCACTACGGGAGTACTTATATAGTAATTGGTATTACCCACTTCAATTCAAAATATATTAGGTACAGGTAAGTATATTAATTATTCAAGATTAAGTGGCATCGCTTTCCAAAAAGGTCTCCCCTTTCAATGTGTATTTTGTTGATAAGCACTCCTCACCACCTTACATGTAACTTTCATATTTGGGGAACAATTTATTATTGTTCCTTGTAAGGAACATGTAAGGTGATGAGGAGTGCTTATCAACAAAATACACTTTGAAAGGGCAGACCTTTTTGGAAAGCGATGCCACTTAATCTTGAATAATGATTATTCAAGATTAATATACTTATTCCTTTTTATTACTATAAATAATTATTTGTCTTACAGCTGTAATAGGAAAATTTGGAATGTACTGTAAAAAACCTAAAGAATCACCAGTTAATTATTACTCTTTAAATACTCACAAATGTGAAAAATCTTTTTCTGATTCAGAGTCATCATCTGATTCTTGTGTTTTATTTTCCTGTGTCTGACTAGAAGCCTGAAACAGAAAAAGAAAAGATTTTTCAAACAAACAGAAAGTAATGTTTAAAACAAAATTTGTACATACACTTTAAGTCAAGATGCTGTTGCAATAAATGATGATTGTTTTACCTTCACAAATCTTCCATACAGCCTTGGCTTGTTGGAGTTTTTGCTTGGTCTTTTGTTACTCACAGAACATGTTTCTTTGCTGGATTTCAATACCGTCACTCCTTCCTAATCAGGAAATGACAATTCACAATTAATAAAAACACCTCAAGATTTTGAAATAACTACTGATTAAAAAGGAGGAATTTCAAGGAACATAATAAAAGCTCTGCTGAAGAGGTTTTGTCTCTCAATGATCACACTAGGATTTAACCCAGACTCAAAACTTTGATCTGCCTTATACAGAATAATAAACTGCCAGCATCACCAGAAAGTATTTATCAGTAGCTTTCATGTGCAGACTCAAAAGTTAAAAAAAGACAACTTCAAAATAAAGACTTTATCTTTGAGGATCTACAAGAGAAGGGCTGGACAAGAGACACATGTTCTTTCCAAAATGTACCTCACTTTCCTGGACCACAATGCTCTTTGCAGTTTTATTAAAGACATGATCCCACCAGTGAAAACTAAACTGGTCTCCAGCATCATAACCAACCTACATACAAAATGGAATGAATGTCAGTCTAATTAAAGCCTCACCTTTGAGGAGGGGCTTAAAAAAGGTCCCGTCCAGTAGTGTGGGACAAGGAGGAAGGGCTTAAAAAAGGTCCCATCCAGATGTGTGGGACAAGGAGGAAGGGCTTAAAAAAGGTCCTGTCCAGTTGTGTGGGACAAGGAGGAAGGGCTTGAAAAAGGTCCCATCGAGATAAGTGGGACAAGGAGGAAGGGCACAAAAAAGATCCCATCCAGTAGTGTGGGACAAGGAGGAAGGGCTTAGAAAAGGTCCCATCCAGTTGTGTGGAACAAGTAGTTCCTGTTGGAATCTGTCCAGTGCCCAAGATCCCAAGCAAGATGATTAATAAAAAAATTGTCCACTTATCCAAGCATGTGAATGCCATGGTCAAGACAAATGTGAGAGGGGCAATTCTCAATTTTTTTGCAAGCAACATAAGGGCTTTATGAGAACTTCTGTAACTAAATGTAACATGTGCAGTGATTTTGTTACCTCTGTGTCCTGCGTCCCTGTTGCATAATTAAAAATCCCCCAAAATGCAAAGTAATTCATAGCATAATATTATGTCCCATAGGATGCAAAGATTGATCAATTGATCTGAACATGTCTATGTTTCCCCGCCAAAAAGGGAAAAGGAAAAGTTGGGAGGACGGAGGGAAACAGTTTCGAAACAAATGTAGCTTACCCCTGCCAAATCAGTTTTAACATTGACTTTAATGGCTTTTGAAATCCCACTTTCCTCTTTTCCAAGTCCTTTACCTGGAAATGAATTAAAAAGTGACTTAAATGGCTTCATTAACTGAGAAGAAAAAGATAAACTTAAGCCTATCCTTCCATAATTATAAACTGAGTTGTTCTGGCAAAGATAAGAGAGGTTCGTCAGATGATTTCCTTTCAGCCCACATACATGTGCATTGGACAAAAGGAATGAGAAATACATTAATTAGATGAGTTTCATGTGGTTGCCAAGCTAGGTCCTTTGGTTCGGTGGTTGAAAGTGCCCCTGTCTTTAGCCATAAAGCCAAGTTTTACCACAAAATGTAAGTTTATTTTAAGGGACGAAGTACCACGTGGGAGATAAACCGTTCTGCGTTTGGTTTCTTGAAAACCGTCAGGGCACAAACTTACTTGTTCCCTCATTTACAGCCTTATTAGTAAAAATTTCGTTCTCATTGCTCAAACATGTAATTTTACCTTCGCTCCAGCCGTGCTTTTCAAGTTGTTTTCTCGCGAATCCAAGACCGTCCGCCATGTTTGGTTGCGTAAGAGAAACAAGTCCCAGTCTTTCCCTCGGCGTGTGTTCAACTTGGCCCCAGCCTCCAGACGAGAAAATGCGGGCCCCCAAGGGCGAAGCCAAATTTTACACAAGGTTTTCTTGTCTTTTACACGGAGATACAAACATTTGTAATGACACAAAATGTTACTCTAAGCGATACGTAGGAATGTAAAATACAAAATCGGAACAGAATTTTATCCGCTGGATTAGCGCTAATCAGCCTTTCAGGAACCGGGCCCTGGTGTTTTAACACTTAAAAGTGGCCGGTTGTCGGCCACTCCCTGGATAGTATCTTAAGAATTTCACTTTATAAAGCAACGTTAGAGCGTTTTCCAGCCTTCTACTTGCTAACCACCCAACACGTGACAAAAATGCATTCATGTGACACCTCGAAACATGAATCAGAAACCATTTCTGAAATATCTGTTGCTGTTTTTATTTTCTTTGCTTTGCTTCGAGACATCATAACGAAACCGTTTACTATTTAGACAGGGTGAGTTTTGAGGAAAAAAAAAACACACGTACTAGAAGTGTCGGGTGGAGGACAATTTATCATTAGGGGCCAATCTAATAAAACTTTGTGTACCAGAATAATAGACCTATTCGGCCAACTCAATGTTAAGATTCGTTGTGTATTGTATTTGCATTATAATGTGGAATTCACATTTAAATGATATGGAAATTCAAAACAAAACGTTTTATTCCAAAAGGGTTTGAATTGGGTACAGCATTGAGTTAAGGCACGGAAAAACGGGCAACAAAAAACGTACAACTTGTCTTGCAACATTGGTGCAAAATGAGTTGAATAGCGATGTTGCGTGTTTTACCACCCACATAAAACCTGTCTTGCAACAAATCAGGTTGTTAAAAGGTTTGAACGTGGGTGGTAAAACGCGCAACATCGTAGTTGTTGCAAAACAAGTTGTACGTTTTTTGTTGCCCGTTTTTCCGTACCTTTAGCCTATATTACAAGTGTAGCCACCGTTTTAAAATCTGAGAACAATAGTTACACTTGTAAATAACACTTGTACCCCATATACATAGGGCAAAATGAATTAGGTCATGCTGCCGACCGTGTTGACCGGCCATAGGAATTTTAGCTCGTTCCCGTTTCTCCTCTGACTGAATTTCATCCGATTACTTCGAGTCGTTATTACTCCCTCAGTAATTGAGGTTGTTGAGAGGAGAAAACGACTCGAAGCAATCGGATGAATTTCCGGCTACTCTGACTGGTCAAAATGTCAAAAATAACACAATGGTAACTTGAACGTTATAGCTTAAAAAGCAAAAACGTATGGTGAAAAAAGATGCTGCCTTGTCTTATTGAAACGTAATGGTGTGAAAATGTATTCTTTCTGGCCTCTTATTTACGTGTTTGGCCAAAATGACTGGCAAACTGAAAGTTTGTCCAGATTGATTATCTTAGCCGGACATTGTCAGTTGACCGGCCATTTTTTAGCCCCATATCACTATACAGATACAAGGTAACTAACAACACGTAATACTGTCACCTTGTAGTTTGAGAAATTTTTTATTCGACTTTTATTTAATACTTGGAATAAAGGACAGTGATTAAAAGAAAATTGTTAGTTAGACTACAGATTCATTATTTACCAGCTAAGTTGTGACTCTTAAGTTGTAAAGAGATTTGAAAGTATTTTGTTTCTAAAAGTAAAAGTGAGAAAATACACTGAATAATGTACAACTGAGTTACAGCGGTTTTCCACTGAACAAAGCAGCAGCAGTGGTAGTGGTAGTTGTTTGTTCGTTCGTTGTTGTTGTTGTTGTTTTTCGTGTTTTTCGTTTGCTGGTCTTTTTGCGATGTGATTGGTTAAATAGTCCATGCTACTTTTAGCCAGTCAGAGCAAAGGTTAAATTAGAACCATTCAGGATCACAGCTTAACGTGAGGATACCTCAACTTCAGGCTTTTTCCAGCACTCTCTGTTGTGTCTGTTGATTTAATATGTTGAGCTCGAGTAATTTTTTGTTTAATATCTTACCAGTTATCAGAAAACCGCCATATAAACTTCTTTAGATTCTAATTTTGACAATATGCTAAACCAGAATTACCGGAATTCTGCCAGCGATTCTCAATAATTAGTTTAACATTACAGACAGTTGTATTTTAAGACAAACAAACTATTTGCGCTTGAAAATCTACAGTAAGCTTTGAAAACCAGATCTCAATTCAGTTCTGCCAGGTTTTTTTACGCAACATAATTATACGTTTTATAAAGAAAGACTCAGATCTGCAAATGTTCGTTTTCGAAGAATGTACAAATTAGACAGAAAACTTAATCGAGTAATTAGGGCATAAAAAAATTACATGGTTAATATTATTTTTGAATTAAGAAAACAGTGCTTATTGAAAATTGCAAGTCAGAGATGTTTAAATATCAATGGGTCAACAATAGAGTAAAGTGGAACTGGGAGACTTTTGTCATTTGTAGCCTGCAAATAAGTTACTGGAAGCTGATGCTAGTTCATCGCTCAGAATGCGGTAATGGTCTAATACATACAGAATTATGCCAAGCTGAACGCTAAGAGCATACCACAAATGCAAAGCTAGAAATAAATAGAGCGTTTTCACATGACGTCACGGCGGCCATATTGCTGCTCCAAAACAATAAAACGGCGGCCATGTTGGTGTACCAAACAAATCCTGTGGGAGTTAAACTCTTTTCTTCTGTAAACGTTTTCTTTTGTTTTCTAAATTTGCATAGATGCTGGTCACGTGAGTGAAAACGCTCTGTAAAGAGCACTGTCGAAAAGAAAAGAAGAACAATATACAAAGACCATGTAAATTGAACCATCGAAACATTTAACGGGCAATTAAGGGGTAAGCGATTGAATCTGTTTATCAAGATTTGTACTGAAACAGGCTAAAAGAAATCCATGGACAAAAATATTATCCACGAAAAGAAAACTAAATTGAAAATCCCTACATAGTAAATACTTCAAATTGTTTTTTTCAAATTTTGGTTTTGCATTTTTCCGTTTTTTCTTTTCCCTCACAATCGTGTTTGGTTGGTGGAAACTCAACCATTTCAGATTTTCTCCTGTTCAAAGGAGATGCCGGCTTGGTTACTCAGCTTCTGAGTCTGTTCCTTCTTCGTCAGCGGTTTCCAACCAAGTGAGCCATGAGTTTACCTGAGGATAAAAAGACAGGACTGCACATCAATATCACTCGAGTTTCAGCCCTGCTTCGGATTAGCAACCTAACCAGGGAAGAATGCATGTGGAAGTACTCCATGCAAGACACATTTTTAACCTGCAAGATACTGTACCTCTCCTTTGACACACCTTCTTAATAGGCGAATCATTACAAAACGAGTTAACCCACAGAAAGTCCAAACCTGAAGGGCTGGAAAACGTGAGCAACTTGTGCAATTTTCAGTTCTTTGCAAGCAATATCTACGGAAATAACATCGACCAAAGGCTACGAAATTGCGGGGAGGCAAAAACGTTTATGGGACCGACATATATTCTTTGTAAAATTTCAAATTTTCTCTCCACCCTCGACTGGGAGAGGCCATCTCTTCGACGAAAGAAACAAAAAGCCTCAATGATGTATAAAACCATGAATGACCTTGCTCAGGAATATCTACAAAGTCTTTTCTCTCAGCGTCACTCTGCTTACAACTTAAAAAACTCTGAGGGAAGGCTGACCCTGTCCAAACCAAGCACCAATTATTTGAAACGAAGCTTCTCTTACAGCGGGGCCATGTTATGGAATAACTTGACCAAAAGCTCAAAAAATGCTGCATCTGCTGAGCATTTTAAGCGAAATATCAAGACAGTAGCTGATATATCGGATTCCCACACGGTAATCACGAAGAGCAGTTGTAATTAGTTTTAGTTTTTACCTTAAGCTTAACTGATGATTCCCGTGTTTAATTAAAGATTTACAAGAATAATTTTTTTCAAAACTACTCGGCCTTCCAAGCTCATACATGCTCTTTCAAAATGCAGAGATACTAAAATTTAATAACCTGACCAGAGAATAATAAGCATTTGATCATGACACAAAAATATACACCAAGATTCTTTTATACGGACAGACAACTCTCCACCTTTCCATCGCTCCCCTTTGCTCCTAGAGGGTCAAACCTTACAGACTCTTTATACAATCCCTGCCTCCTTATTACTGACAACTCTACAATCTAAAGGTGTCTAAGCACCTACTTTTCATGCAGATTAGTCGTGTTTCCGGTGGTAAATAACAATCCCATTTCACAGGATAGCACCAAATGCACTATGCATTATGATGCCTGGTTAAGCTGTGGCCGCGTGGGTTACCTGTAACTCGAGGATTTTCATTATTTGGGAATTATCAATCAAGAACCTACGGAGCTACTCCGTACCTGGAAGAGAGCCTTTCCTTTGCCGGGGTGCTTTTCGCTCACATCTTCCTTCCACCTCAAAAATGCTTCTTCTTCCACCACTTCAGTGTCGTACAACAACACGAACATGCGTAGCAGCATACCTATAATAAACACATCTAGCAGTTAGTTAACATCATCATTTCAACATTAACAGCACAGACCAAAATCAGGAGACGGTAATGGGCTCCTGCCAAAATACCTCTTGCACTTCTGGGGCCACTTTCCCAGAAACAGAATAAAGAATAAATGCGCCCTTCCTAGCTAATAGACCAGTCCATTTTGTTTTGTCAACTGATAGTTTTATCACGTTATTTGCGAAACGATTGAAACCTCGATTTTGGACTCCAAACACCTTTTAGGGCCCCGAAATTATCGGGACTTTTGAGAAACGGCCCCTTGGACTCTATTACGAGACACACGATTTAGTTAAATGCCTTAAGTAAAACAGATGGTGATCGGTTTTGTGGTCATAATGAGGATAAAAATGTACCAAAAAGTGCGATACACGTGCACAGTTGTTGTCTTGCTGGTTAAGCCTCTAGTTTGCCGTTTTTCCTTGTCGTTTTTGTTGAAGTCGTCACCCCAGTTGTTTAAGCTCCCTAATTAAGATAACACGACATCAATCCCTCAGTGTCAATAGAATAGCGTACTAAATGCAGCAGTACCTTTAGGAAAGTTATGACTATGGCAAAACACTTGCAGTGCATAGAGCACGCTGACCTGTAAACACAAGCAAACCAGGAATTAGTACTGACAGAATTGACTACATGGTCGAAAGAGCTATAAATTAGGAGTTCGTCAAAGTAGATAGACGGCCCGCAGTTTAATTCCCGCAGTTTTTTCTTTGGAAAGTTAGTGGGGTAGAACGCATAGCACATAGAAAAGCCAAGTTAACTAAAAGAAAAAGGCGAGTAGCATGAGCGGGGAGAAGGAGGCGGCGGCCTGACAAGTGCTATGCACCTACTGAGCAACTGAGCCCACGCCCCAGTTGTTCAAAAGGTGGATAACGCAATCCACTGAAGAAATCTCAATCCACTGGATAACACAATTGACTTCCCTCATACTTATGCACTGGATAGTGCCTGCATTATATGGTGGATAGCGCTACGTAACGTTTGAACGACCGTGCCCTGATTCGCCACTTTGAGGTTGCGCGGGAGACCGGGTCGAGATGGTTGTCAAAGTGCATTGTGGGACTGTTTTGGGGAAAGAATTTGCCGCCATGTTGAAAATGCGTCCCCCAAAAAGTCTCACAATGCACTTTAAAAACATCTCGACCCGGTCTCCCGCGCAACCTCAAAGTGGCGAATGCAGGATAGCAAAAGCAAAAGGCAATGCTTCGATCGCAGCTTCCTGCGCAGAGGTCCCTTTGGCTTCTCACGAAATCCTCTATTGCTTTCAAATCATTGCAAGAAAAGCAAAGAGAAGGTCAAAAGCGTAGCAGGCTATGCACAAAGAAGGACAACTCACTTGCAAAGCAACTTTCTCGTGAACAAACTTTTCTACTAGAGGCAATAACTTCTTGAGGGCTGCTTTTTCTTTCTCTATGACGTCTTTATCTGGAGCCTGTGAGGCATCTATACCATCAGCTAGGGTGCTGTCTTTGGTGGCAAACTTAAGCAGGCTGTATTGGAAAAGAACCATAGTTGATGGATTACCGTAAATCCTCCATTAGCCCCCCCCCCAGGGGGGGGGGGTATTTAATTCAGCAAAGACTATGGTATCAGTTCTCCATAAAGGACAATAACAAAAGTGGAAAAGCTCAAGCACTAGAAGTTGGAGGTCATGCAGTCGAGGATCAAAAACAAATCTGAATTTCCAGTTAGTAAATAAACCATCCAAGATGAGTCCACAAGAAGTTTTACAGTCGTGATTAATTAGTACAGTCTATCGTTTAGTAGTGAAGAATAATAAGAGGGAGGGGAGGGGGGCTTATTAACTTTCTTCCACTGCAAAACGGGAGCCTGAGAGAAGGGGATTATTTGAGAGGGAGGTGCTTAAAAGAGAATTTACGGTAAGAGACAGTCTTTGAATAAGGAAGGGCCCCTCCAGGTCTATCCTATGGGAGTAGTAATAATCGGGAAACCTGAGTTCCCTGCGAATTGCCCTCCCCTCCCTACCCATTCCTGCAAACCATAACAGAAATATACTAGGGTTGTGACTGCTAGATATTGTTATGTCCCATATAAGTGTGGAACCGCGTAGCACAAATGACGGAACAAACAATTTTCTCACGACTTTGTCTGCTCTGGCCTGGTAGCTCAGTCGGTAAAGCAACGGTGGGTCTAATTCGAGGGTGGTAGTTTCTTGGTGTTGCGGTAGGGTGCAATCACCATGAGTCCTGTGAGTGACCAACATCAGTTTTCTCCCAACAGCATTGTTACAAAATGAAGAGGAAAGGTAATGAGAATTGTTGAAATGAGAAACTAAGGGAGAACTCCATGATCGTTTGTCAAAATCCTGTCAATCAAATATTTTAGTAAATGCATGGAAATCAGTTTGGATAATATTTGAATCTGGTTATTGGAGCTTAAAGAGTTAAGATTGAATTTCCAGTTAGTAAATAAACCATCCAAGATGAGTCCACAAGAAGTTTTACAGTCGTGATTAATTAGTACAGTCTATCGTTTAGTAGTGAAGAATAATAAGAGGAAGGGGAGGGGGGCTTATTTACTTTCTTCCACTGCAAAACGGGAGCCTGAGAGAAGGGGATTATTTGAGAGGGAGGTGCTTAAAAGCGAATTTACGGTAAGAGACAGTTTTTGAATAAGGAAGGGCCCCTCCAGGTCTATCCTAAGGGAGTAGTAATAATCGGGAAACCTGAGTTCCCTGCGAATTGCGCTCCCCTCCCTACCCATTCCTGCAAACCATAACAGAAATATACTAGGGTTGTGATTGCTAGATATTGTTATGTCCCATATAAGTGTTGAACCGCGTAGCACAAATGACGGAACAAACAATTTTCTCACGACTTTGTCTGCTCTGGCCTGGTAGCTCAGTCGGTAAAGCAACGGTGGGTCTAATTCGAGGGTGGTAGTTTCTTGGTGTTGCGGACGGGTGCAATCACCATGAGTCCTGTGAGTGACCAACATCAATTTTCTCCCAACAGCATTGTTACAAAATGAAGAGGAAAGGTAACGAGAATTGTTGAAATGAGAAACTAAGGGAGAACTCCATGATCGTTTGTCAAAATCCTCTCAATCAAATATTCTAGTAAATGCATGGAAATCAGTTTGGATAATATTTGAATCTGGTTATTGGAGCTTAAAGAGTTAAGATTGAAAGGACACTGAACAATACCCACACCACAGCAAAAATGGCCAACCAACAATGGTTTCTGCAACAACAGGAAACACCCGCGAAGGTCGAGAACAGAAGAGAAGGATCTTGTTTCACAAAATACTTCAACTTACCAAGTGGTGAGCACGTTAACAAACTCGGGATTTGTGTGCCAGGAGCATTCTACATTATCCTACGAACAAGAAAAAAACAACAACATTCTAAATAAAACAGAACCGACCAACGCACTGTTTCCCTCTGACCCGAAAGGATATACGGTAGATTTTGCAACGTCACTCACTTGGATAATTTTGGCGGAAAAAACTGTCATGGTCAGATATCATGTGACCCAAAGTAGCCAATAGGGAGCTTAAGTAAAGACGTTTTGAGCAACAGCATCGACCGGAAATGAGGCTTTTTTTATTGACGCCACAAAATTCGTATTGCTAAGGGTCTTTACTCTTTAAGGGGCGATTTGCCCGAAAGTCTGGCAAAACCACCGCGCAAGAATGCAAAAAAATCCACTTCCGGTTGACATTCTTCAATCAAAAACGTCTTTGCCTCCAGCTGTAACAGGAAAGAACTGAAAGGTTGCCTTGCTAAGATTCTGCTAAGACTAAGCGCATCGCACTGTAAAGCGTTACTTACATGTGTGATAAGTACCGTACCTTGACCCACTTGTAGATGGCAGTAACACTTGGATCCTCTTCGATCTTGGAAAAAAGATCCGCTTGGATATGCAATAGGGGGTACAGGAACACCAGGTTCTGAGGAGAGGTTCGACAACTTGGTTAGACTGTTTTAAACTCATTTTCATGCAATACATCGTACACGAGGAGGGCCGGTTTCATTAGCTATCCAGACATCAAAGAGTCGGTTAAAAAATAAGGCGCAGGAGAGTTTTTTCCAGGTCCATTCGAGGCGCCTGTACATCGAACGGAAACAATACTTTTTGAAGTGTTGGATATACATTTTTGACCAAATGATCAAATTGTTTTGAAGAAATTCAAAGGAACAGCTCGCAAAAAAATCAATTTTTCAAGGAGCGGCTTAAGAAACCATGCACGTTCGTTCTTGTTCGCGTTAATTCGTTTGCTCGATCGTTCGTTCGTTCGTTCGTTCGTTTATTCATTCATTCATCACCAAAAGCAAGACTAAACAAACTTACCTGCTTCTCTAAGATAGACATGAACTTTTCGCTTGTTCTGTCCTCCTCTGTAACAAATACAAAAAAGCCTAATAAATGGTCTGATAAAAGAATTCCTGATTAACTTGGAAATTCCTGATGGAAAAAAATAGCTTAGCTTTTTAAGCGTATAATAATTTCATCTTGGAAATTTTAGTGTATATATCGCTTTTCCTTATTCGCTGTGATTGTCTTAGAACTATTTAAAGTATTAAATAATCTGATTAGGATAGAGTTGCAGTAGTTTGTCACTTCCACTGTTATGTGCCACCCTCTTAAAGCAAAGTTGTTACTTACTAACTAATTCACTGGCGTATTGGTTTATTCTTATTACATAAAAAGTGTAAAAGATTAGAACGCTAACCACATGCACCTGCGCCGTTTGGTTATTTGTTGTTTTTGCCCCCATTTTATAAATTGATGTACACAGACTTTGTAATAATTATACAAACCTGGTAAAGTTGACAGTAGATCCAGTTTACTGTCTGTAAATTCTTTCACCAGCCACTCCTACAGAATAAAAAAATCAAATTTAGGATTTGTTTGAATTTCGTTAAAAAAGGGTTAAACGTTAAAGGTTTGTTTGTAGTGGAAAGTGCACTTACCTAATCCAGCTAATTTACAGGTACTCTACTCAAATAATTAGAAACAAATAATCAAATAGAACATAAAAGGATTTTAAACCCCAACTGACAGGAAGCAACTATGCAGTTGGCTATTTACATGCGCGGCCAAGGATTTGAACTCAGGAGCGGGACTCGAACCCTGGACCGCCAGATTGCGAATCCGACGTGCTGACTACTCGGTCACGCTGCTTTCGCTCTGCTGTTGTTTGGCGGTCATCCTTGATAGTAAAACCTTAACGATAGCCGTTAACACTAGATTGATCAAGACACAGCAGAGACTCTGCCATCATATGAAATCTTCAATAATCAAAACCAGGCTTTAACACGCAAATGTAACCCAAACATCGGGCCTTCGTAAGGGGTTTGGAGAAAGGATATTTTGAAGGGATGTTCACTGATTTCTCCCTTTCCCGCTGGAAAATCTCTGATACTTAAGAGACAACAGACTCCAGGCCATCAGATGAAATCTTCGATCATCAAACTCCCCTGGTGCCCTCCCCCCCCCCCCCCCCGCCGCCAAACTACATTTTAAAATACAAAAAAAATTTATTCATTAGGCCCTTTTTGGGGGGGGGGGGGGGGGATTTTGTGGGGAATCACCACACTCCTTCCCCCCCCCCCCCAAAAACCCTCCGCACCCCACACCAANATACTCAAGCTACATGTATTATTGAATTAGCTCACCTGTCCTTTTAGATTCTCCAATTCTTTTAAGCACAGCAGGAGGGCTGGGTAAAAATTTCCATTTTCACTAAGGGAGCTAACTTCAATCAGACTCAAAATTTCCTGTTGAATACCAACAATCAAGTTAAGTAATAATTGGACACATGTTCTTCAAGAAAACTGACAAAAGTATTTGCAGGAGACTCCGATACATATGCGTTACTGATTAACGATTTATAAAATGCAAGACAACCTTTTACTTGTGGGACCCAAAAAGGGAAACTGGAACTGTCAAGATAGGCCCATCCTTTTTTCGGTGGGGGAAGGGCGGCGAAGGAAATCTATTATTCATAAATTTGGTTTTCAAGAATAAGGGGGGAGGGGAGGGGGCTGAAGTTTTTCCCCCTGAAAAAAGGGGAGCATATTTGAGAGGATGTGCGGTACGTAGGGGAAAAATGAGGTTGAATTGGTGCTCTAGACTAGAGACTAGACTCTAGACAGTCCATATTAATTTTTTGCGTAGTCAAGTACGCGCGAACAATGAAACGAAAGATCTGGAGCAAGACTGAAAAAGGAGAGCTCATGCCTCGGATTTTAACATGGTTAAACGTTTCAGAGGCAGACCAGTCCTTTACAAGTTAAATAGAAAGTGACAATGCCCTGCAAACCTTTCGGCTCATAGAGTGTGCGAATACGGCCATTAAAGTTGTAATGGGTAGCCAATGAAAGGGTTAATAACAAGTCCTCTTTACCTGAGTTACAGACTCTGCTATAATCTTTGCCATCTGTTTCTTCACTTTGGGATTCTCATCAGATTCCTGCTGCTTTTCCAGCACCTCTGAAACTCCCTGAACGTAAAATAGCAGACAAAAGAAAATATTAAAAATCAGCAGTACATATAAACTTAATTTTGACAACTAAATAATTCAACCCTAAACAAACCACACTTGAGTATTTTGTCGGCTACGAAACATTAGCTGATATTGTTAAATACGTATTTAACACTTACAAGCCCGGCACAGGCTTCTAAAATTCATACCATAAGTTCACGTCAGAGACGTAGAAAATAACATTTGATTTGAAAGATAGCCAATGAGAGAGACGGAATTAGAAAAAAGAACTCTGTTAGTACAGCTTCGTTCATTTTGTTTTACAGTTTTGTAAATCGCACATTATGAAACTCAACGTTAGAGAAGGAATTAGCTCTTTAGTTAATTGACAACAACAGAACTATTGCTAGCGGGTAAACAAGAAAAAACATATGGGGTGAATGTATTCCTCGCTCTTTAAGCAAAGTGCGAGACAATATTAACTCCTCGACTGAGGGCCTGCTAAGTCAGCTTGAATTGAAACGACTTGTATCAAAACGCCTCTGTATAAAAACGACTTTGTTTCGAAAAGATTTTGTATCGAAACGACTTTGAATCGAAATGACTATGTATCGGATTGACCATGCAGTAAGACCGAAAACCCTACCTTGATAAAGACATCTGCTGTGAGAAGATTTGACTTGTGTAAGCTGACAAATAACTGTATGAATAATTCATCAACCTCTGCTGTAAGGTATGCAGTAAGTAGCTGGGTCATCAGTAGCGTCAGGTACCTGGTATGAGGAGTAGAAATTTTATCAAGTAACGTAAAATTTAAGAATGTACCATGGTACAAATCACAAAGAGAGTTCTAAACAGTAATTAAACCTCCCTTTGAAGATCTACACACAATTAATCTAGTTTCAAACTTTTGGGGTGATCATTCAATGAAAGCTTTTGAGAATTTTTTTTCCTGTGGTATGGTTTTAATATTTAAGTACAAGGTGGTTCTAACTTTTGAATCTGTGAAGAAAACCTTGAATTGTAACCATTCAGATGGAAGCTACTGGTACTTGCCTGTGGTACTGTTTTAATATTGTACTGTACAAGTTAGTTTTTACTTTTAAATCTGCGAATAAAACGTAACCGTTCAAATGGAAGCTGATGAGCAGTACTTTCATCTGGTATAGTTTAGTATGCGGTAGAAGGGGGTTCTAGCTTTCGACTCTTTGAATGAAATCCCTAAGTGTGACCGTTCAAATAAAAGCTACTGAACAGTACTCTTCCGTGGCGCTATCTCTTACGCTGTATAAGGTAGTTGTAACTTGCGCTTGCTGAATTTGCGCTTTGAAAAACTTTTCCGCGTTTCTAACAATTTGCTGAAAATGTCAAATGTAGGCGAAATTCCTTGGGATTGATTTCTTGGGGACTGCAGTCCCCAAGTCCCTAAATAAAATCCTAAAGGGTGACCATTCAGATGAAAGCTACTGAGCAGTACTTTCCTGTGACTCTGTTTATTAGGGAGCTTTAGCAAGAACGACGCCAAGGCAGCGAAAACGTCACTTTTAGAATGAATTTGCGTATTAAAAAACTTTTCCGCGTTTCTAACAATTTGTCGAAAATGTCAAATGTAGGCGAATTTCCCTGGGATTGATTTCTTGGGGACCGCAGTCAAGTTTAAAAAGAGAAAGAAAAATTCGTCGTTGCTTATTATTACTGTGCTTATATTTTACGAAACGAAATTGGGGATTTTTACGAACTTCGGCCTTTGACAATCAAAACATTAAAACGAAGAGACACTTACCTTGACCCTTTGATGTCTTGCACGGCTTTCACTGCTGCATCAGTGTCTTTAGAATCTAAATATTCTGTGACAATGTTCTCCTGAGAAAAACAACAGATGCAAGGTCTATTACCATCATGTACACCACACAACTAAAAGCTCAAGGCTCTAGCAGAGCCTGAATCCCCCTGGCGCCTAACTTCTGCTTTTAAGGCGACTACAAAATCTCCTTTTTTTCATACATATCATATGCTGGGCACCCTAGATTTCACAGTTTCAGAGCACTGGGCTCCCTTCAATATTTCTTAGAGTAGAGCCTTGAAGCTATAAGTTAAGCAAGCTAGGAGTTTCATACAGCATTACTGAAGGAAGCTGTCACCCTGTTGCAATTGTTTAACTCCTTAATTCCTTTTGAAGGCTGTATTAATGTAAGTGGAAGTACAGCGGCAAGACAACTTCTTTTCTCTTTCGACCAAATCGAGTGTGTAACTGATTTGAAAAGAAACCTCAGCCTTCAGCCTACCTTGCCTTTCATTCTTTAAAAAATTTTATTGTTCTTGAACAAAGAGTAAAAAATTGAGAATGCCAGAATAATATAAATTTACAGTAAACTTTTGACGCTACATGTAAATACCAGTAACAAAAGGTTTCAGGAGCTGCCCCCCCCTCCCCCCTCCCCCCATTACCCCCATCCAGTTAACTGGAAAGTCAAATTCGACCAACGTTGTAATTAGAAAGTAGATCTAGAGCCAAAACTTCGTAAGCAAAAGTACGACCTTAGAAACTGCAGAAACGTTTTGGAGTGAAACTATTTTCATTTATTTTCTTAGTTTGAAGCCTGTTGCGTGTCTTACAAACTAGAAACATTTTTTCTTTGAAACCTTGCAAAGAAGTGACAGACTTGGCTCACCACTTGTTTGTTAAGATCAGCTGTTGAAGGCGCCTGCTGTTTATTTTGCTTCTTTGTTTTTTCAATAATGGGTGGAGCAGCAGTTCTGTTTAAAGGATCCTGAAAAATTAAAGTAGTTTAACAAGTGATCAGTGATCAGTGAACGATATAAAAGAATCGTTATAATGAATGACTGGTCACATAAATGCATGTACCGTATAATTACGACTCTATTATACAAAAAATTAGTTGTGCGAATGAGAGGACTAAACCCTCTAGGGGCAACTTTACGGAGGCGAGGGTGTTTCAACTTTCACACTTGATGGCGAAAACCTGCGATGCAACCATCCAAACCAAACCTCTTCAGCAATTCTTTCACATGGTACTACATGTTTGTGTATTTTCTTTAGCAACATAATCCCTAGTTTCATCACTTAAGCATTCTTATAAAGCATATATTTTAAAAACTGGAAGAAACATGAGAAATAAAGGCCATACAAGGTATAACTGCTAATCATTATTCATTCAAAATATTATGACGTCTCTGACTGGCTTTAATCCCAGATTAATTTTTCACAATCAGCTAATGCTGACCAAATTCATTCAAAATATTATGACGTTTCTTACTGGCTTTAATCTTCGTTATTTTTTCTTAACCAGCTAATGCTGACCAAATTTGGAAGATGCCAGCAATAAATATACCATTGATTAGATGGTATATTTGCCTGGACGCATTGCTGCTTCGGCAATAGTGAACAAAAACAAATGGCAGTCAAGGCTATCCAAAGACAAAATGGCGGAATTTCTGACTAAAACTGAACAGAAGAAATAAAAGAATACACAAAACATATCCCGATGGATGATATCTGCTTTTGACTTTGGCTTTCGTATGATGTGAAGAATTATGCTGATCACAGAAGAAGTAACCCACCCCCGCATATGGCTTAAGTTCTCCTTGATCTGCATAATTCCTTACATCGTACTCAGCCTCATTCAATCATTGTTAACAGTACACTGTATCTTGAAGTACATGTACTGTCTGTGTTTAACGATTTGCCGCTAAGCAATATAAAACTGCAGGGATGTTTAACAGGGTATGAACAAAGTCCAGCAACCCTATACCAATTACAAACATGGAAAACAGAAAGTCCTGACCAAATGGAGCTGTCTCTCCCAGTCAAAAAACAAAGAGGAAAACATTCCTTACCAGCCTTTTTTGAGCTGGTGGAGTTTGAGATCTGCCAGCAACTCCAGGTCTCTGGGCAGCAGCAATTGAGTCCCTTGCTGGCCTCAAACTTATCTAGAAAGCAAAGAAACATGAAAATAAATTTATCATCCCCGACAGAGAGGCAACATGTCCGAGTGATCAGCATGTCGAACTTGCAATCTGGCAGTCCCAGGTTTGATTTGTTCAGACAATTACCTGGATTTGTTCTTGGTGGTCCACTAGAGTTCAGATACTACGCCATGTTTATAAATAACCAACTGGTTGCCTCCTGCTAGTAGAGGTTTTTGATCTTGGTATGTTGTACTTAGATTATCTGTTTCCAATTATCATTATTTGAGTGGAGTGTCTGTAAACAAGCTGCATAGCTAAGTACACTTCCACTAAAATATAAAAACCATGCATTTACCATATCAGAAACTACATGTTTTATGGAAATGAAGCCAAGTCCCTATTTAAAAACCATCCTCAAATGATCCCCTCTGGCCCAGTGTAGTAGTCTTGAGGAAGATGTCATCCATTAACACATGCAGTTTTTCCTTTTGGAAACAAGTGATGCCATTTTTGAATTATTCCAAGTGTTTCTTCTAAAAAGAAACCGATTCATCACCAAACCAAGTTGAAAAAAAAAATGCAAATGTATGTTTGATCGTCCTCTGACTGTGAGAGAAAGACTACCTAAATGACGTCTCCCTCATTTAATGTGAATTGAGAAAGGTCTTTCAATTAGGCCTAACAATAAAAAGTGTTATGTGTACCTCTCCATCAGCATTTGAGTGGTTTGGTCTTGAAGAATATCTCCAACCACCTAGTTGTTAAAGAAAGAATACATATCATTAAATAGAAGCTCCAACAATGCATGTGATATTTACCACTGAGTCTTTTTTTAAAATAACATACTGTTTAACCAACAGATACATGTAAGCATCAAATGGATAATCTTTTACCCCCAAAAAGCTCAGGATTGAGATAATTTTTGACAAATTCTTCAAATTTCATTTTATTGTCGAAACATAAAGACTGACTTCATCATATTGTCATCATGGTAGTGACAACTACTTACAGAAGTGTATTCAAAAGGGAAAATTAATTGGTCGCATTTGTTTCTTGAGTCTCCCACTGGATAAAAACAAATGTATAAAAATATAAAACAAATGTAGGCAATAAAGGTGCCTTCCTCATGGCTAAATACTTCCCTTTGTCGCTCAAAGGTCATTAAAACAAACTTTTTAGGACCTCCAAATGCTGCTGGTTTAAGTAAAAGGCAGAGCCACTTTTGATCTAATTTGTTGTTGTGTACTAATTTTATATTTTTCTCCTTATACTTTAAATGTTCTGAAGGACCCTGTAAACAACAAACAGGACCATGTGAAAGTACATGTACTGCTACATGCATGTAAAGTGGTTTCATTTGAATGGTGACCGTCACAGTTCAGAATTTGGTCCACATACTCAAAAGGTCCCAAACCACCTACATGACAAACCAAACAGTACCACAGCAAAGTACCGCTCAGTAAGCTTTCAATAATATTCAAAGATTGGACACACCATAGGATTTTGTCTGCAGACTCAAATGCTCTTCAGAGAATTATTAAATGCTTCCATAATTGAAACTAGCAGTGTAAAGACAATCATGGTAGTTCGACAATTTGAAAACAGCTATTTACCTCCTACTGGTTTAGTCATTGAATTGACAGATGTGGAGCTTTGTTTCGTTGGCAAGTCGGCCCATGGATCTCGAGTAGCAAATCGATCATAGTCCTCATCATCATATCTAAACGAACAACAAGAATTCTTGGATCATGGACAAACCCAAAGTAAGGGAGCTAAGCTTCTGAACAAGTTATTTGCCCATACAAAGTGTTGTACTAGATTTTTACTGCTGAACTTTAGTTAAGGGAACAAGTACAGTACGAAAAACTAAGGTTAACATACTATAAATGCATGAACAAAACTGTCTGTGGTATGGATGTACATGTACTAGCAAGTAAACTGACCAACAAAAATGATGATTACTTCGCAAACCAGTGTACTTTTCTTGCAGTGAACATAATAAGTGAACATAATAAGTGTACAAGTACAACAATGAAGGATCAACATACTATGACACATGAACAAAACTGACATGCAAAAAACTACTAGCACTCTGGTAAGTGCCTGAACCACAAAAAGCTGAAGAGTAGTAAGTGTACTACAATGTATGGTACTATTTTTAAAATACCTATAAAAAGTGTTCACATAAATACAAAATTAATAACCTCAAACCAAATGATCTCCTGTCTGTTGGCATTGCACCAGTGCTAAACTCATCAAACCGGGGACCAGAGGGACGAAAACCATTGTCGGTAACAAAGACATCATTCATTCCACGACTGTGTGGAGGTTCTGCAGGTCTGCCACCTCCACTGGGGCGATTCATCCAGCCACTGTGAGTCAGAGGTGGGGCGTTCCTGGACATGTGGCCGTGAGGTGGCACGTGGAATCCAGGATGACCAACAAGGCCCTGTGGATAAAACCACCAAGAATGATGCAATAAGCTTACAAATTTGGGTTGACTCTGTGCGATGACAAAAAACAAAAAGGTACCTGCCAAGCTTCCTGGCGAATTTGCTGGATCATCTTTGGTCCTACCTCATTAGCAGATTTTCGTGGAATCCACTGTAAAAGAAAGCAATAGAGGATTTTGTCCGACAACTAAAGGGACAACATTTTAACAATTCTTCAAAGACAGTCTCAGGCTAGCATGATGATGTTTTTTTTCTCTGTCAACAGCAAATAAAACAGTTCTCAAGGAATGTGATAAAAACCACAAACTAATCTTGAGTGAATTTTATGAACTATTAAGATAATACTTAAAGCTATTGAGTTGGTAATCAAATTCTCATTTTCAAGTTTTGGACATTCCACATAGCAAATCTGATGCTGACCAGGAGCTTGTGCAAAAAATTCCACATTCTAAAACCTCTTATGGTGATTCAAGTAAGCTGGTTGATACATGGTTGTACATTATTTGTTTGTTATTTATGTATTTTGCCAACACTTAAAACATTTTTGATTTTGCACCCATGTTTTGAAAGTTACCACCAAGAGAAAAACAAGTCCTCATGTATGCTTCTGATTTTACACACTATGGATTAATTTTACATTGTAATACTTCAAAAGGATAAAAGTAAATACGAATATATTTTTTTCTTCGTATTCCTTGGTGTATCATACATGATACTGTATGATGAGTAATGAAAAAATAAAACAAAAGTGTATTTACAATCAAAATTGAGTTGATGCACTTGGAAATCTACCTTGGCATTCCGAAGGTCAATGACATCCTCAATCATGAACCTAATACGGGCTGGGAAGTCACTACGGCTTAAAAGCTGCTGAATTCGCTCAAAGTACTGATCCATCAAGGGCTGCAACAATCAATTTCAAAAATAATCAGTTCACTGTTGCAATCCTGAGAGCAGGGAAAGAGAAAATTAAAGAAAAACATCCCAACTCAGTGAAACCCCCACAAAACAAACCCCTATAGCAAAACTTCAGTTTAACAAATTACAGAATTTTTCATGACAAATTGTAGTAAAATGGGTGCTGGGAAAAGAAGCCCCATAAATTGTACCCCAGTTGTAACAAATTATTTTTCAAGTTCCTTGGAACTTGTTTTTTCAGGGATCCACTGTTACAAAAATAATACCCCAACGTTCTTTATAAATGGAAGGTGAAACCCTTGGTACTGTACTCAGGAACTTTGACTGTGGCCAGCTAGCACTAAAAGATTAGAATACCATACCTACAGCTCACAAATCCTTGACCCTCCCCCCATGGGAGACACTAAGGCCATCCCACACTAAATCAGTGGAGGCCGAAAACAAAAGGACTGGTTGGGGTTAAGGAACAGTAAAAAAGCTGTAAAAAGAATTCTGCAACAACTGCTATGACATTGCTACAAAAAGACTCTGTGAACTTGAAAACTGCCAGAGAATGTGGGTTAAACCATTATCCAGAGACCACTAATTTTCCTTGGAACACTTTGCTAATGTCATCTAACTACAGAAGGAAATATACCTTTGCCTTGGGAATATCCAGTTTAGGACCCACAGTCTTCATCAGGTAACAGAGGCACTCCATGGATTCTGACATGTCTGCCATTGTTGCTCTCTTCTTCTTGTCCAACAACTGTAGAATAGAAATTTCATCAGTGTTTGTTACTAAGTGAGGATGAAATTTCAGGGAGTTTTCAAGAAATTTTCCACGATAAAAAAAAAAGAATATTCCAAGACCAAGAACTTGCACATTTTAGTGCCAATACAATGTTCTTGTAATCATATAAGGAATGAACAATAAAAATATTCATTGACCTGCTTGATGCACCTGTGTACAATGGCTTCGTGCAACATGTCATACTTCGCAAGTTCACCTGCGGGAGGAAAAACAATTTCAGACAAGACAAACCAACAGTCACTATACCTCATCTGACAATTTAATATTGTTCTTTGATAGATCAGGGCACAAAAGAATTGCTAACCAATAACCAGTGCTAGTGGAACAATGCAAGGAGTTACGGTAGCACACTGTTTCCATCACAAGATTTCCCTGCCAGCAAGGTATTGGTATTTTTGTGGAATGAATTTTAACATTATTATTCTTTTTAATATTATATTTTTAGGAAGAAATCTAGCAGAATACACCTCGTAGCAACCAGTGATTGAAAAAAATCCTAAATAATGGTGTTTGAAACAAACATCATGTGAACAATGACTGTATCAAACTCTAATGATTTCACTCTTTGTTGTTAACTTCTTTGAACTGAATTCAATGCATCAAGATTTAGCTATGGGGCTCCACTAATTCAAAACCATCCCTCGGCTAAAAAAGACAGCCTGTGGTATTTGATCTGATTGGCATTCATGACCAACTGCAAGTAGGGTTTTGTTGGACACAGGTAAATTTTAAACGGACATTGTGTGATGTCATGCTTTTATTTGCTCTGCCAGCACTTACCAATGAAGCGTATGTTGCCCAACACTTTGCGTTTGATAGTACACCTCTGCTCTTCCTCGTCCGGTGTAAGTGGTCCATCTTTTTTATCAAAAGCTAAAACATATGAAAGAATCAACAATAAAGTTACTACAAATCCCCATAACTAAAAACTGATCTTCAGTGGCATTGAATTCAGGCTACAAAACAATCATAAATGTACATATTAATTAGGCCCCAAGTCACAATTTATTTGTTTAATGTTTGTAAGGAAAATACACTCTTCTCTCTTGTCTGTTACTTGTCGAAAATTAAAAGCCTGTTAATAAATTGCCCAGCATAACAGTTGTATAATTTAATGCAAATGAACTTCCTACAATCAAAATAAATGAAAACTAAACATGTCAAACTTAATGTTTACCTTGACTAGCTTTAGTTCTGTTGTTGAATTCCTCCTCGCATTGTTTAAGCAGCAAACGTCTGAATGTCTACAAATCAAAATAATAATAATAGTAATAATAATACATGTACATACATTAATACATTTCAACCCCTTTTTATAACACATATAGGGATACTTCTTTACGATGGGCAGTTCTCCTGTTCTAAAGACAAAAGAGCTCTTCACACATTCCTTATAATGTTACAATAAGGATACATGTGCCTCAGTTGTGTCTGCCTGTGAAGTATTACTGGTAGCTGTTTGGGAAAAGATAACTGGAAGCCTGGGTTTTCTACTATTGATAATTTCCAACAATTATTACATTGTTGCCCGCCCGAATCAAAACAGGCAGCATAAATTATTTTTCCTGGAGCAGATTTGAAATGGCAGATGCAAAAGGTGCCGTTTAATGTGGCACATGACATGTTTTGAAGCATTTACAATGGAAAGAGTTAGAAACGTTGGTAAATTGTAAGGATGCTTTTGTAGCCTGTTGCAGGTGTTAAAATCGTGAGGCGGAGCAAAGGGATGTGAGCAGAAAATACAGCAAGTGGGTGGCGTAGGGGGTCAGAGCAAAGGAACGCCTGCAGTACTTTTTAACAAAAGCTAGTCGAGGTGTACCAGATTCTGGTATACGCTATCATTAGTTTATTTTGACAGCCCTTGTCAACACTTCAAAGTTTATTTCCTTGATTGGAAATGTGATGCGACAGCCATGAGATCATACATCAGTTTTTGATCATTTTGAAAGTGAGATGATTCGAAATACACAACATGGTTAAGGTGAAATATCAGGATCTCATCAACAAAAATTAGGCCTTGAAATTCTACCATTTATTGGCTTTTAAATGAGCTTTTTCCTGTCAGTTCTCCTTAGGAATATTAAATACGCATATGAAGCTTTTATCGATATGAATCTTTGTTAGATTTTTGCAGTTCGTAAGCAGCTATTGGAGTTACTACAGCAGTACGGAAAGCTGGATGAATCGGCTGTGAAATCAGAAGAGTGCATTCGCCCTGAAATTCCTAAAAGCTGGCCTTTCAAAGCATTCAGCTTGATATTTTTTTTTAAGAGCAGATTTTGTGAAAAGGTAAAAATAGGCAAGTCTCGGGATGTGCTCCGTTATTTGAAATTTTGAGATCTCTGTTTGTATAATGCTCATCTTCCAAAGCTATGCGTGGAAGCTTTCACCAACATTATTAAATACAGGATATATTCGTTTGAAATATATATGGGCCAATTTCAATGGCTAAAAGAGAGTTTACGACTGGCTCAAATTGCACTGGAAAAAGAAAAAGGGTAATTTTGAAGATGAAGTAAGAAAAAAGCTCGCTTGTCTAATAAATAAGCCTGTCTGGCTACATGTATTCCTTAGCCTTGTAGCACACTGTCAGTACTAAATAAATTATTCAAATAATTTTCCACTAATATAAAATGCTGTCTTTTAAGGAAAGGTGTTTCATCAGGACATGAGGTAACTAAAACATGGCAAAAAAAAAATAACTTGTGACATGACAAACGAGATAATAAGCATTGCAATGAATATTATACTTACTGAGTTGCCAGTTTTTCCAGGATCATCAAAATTTGGTGCCTCTTCACTGAGCCGCAGACACAGCTGGGCATACATAGAACTGTACTTTGGTTCATCGAGAGCTTTTTCAAAAACCTTGAAGTTCAAGACCCATATCAGCACATTTTACTTTTACTTGGATCATGGGATGTGAGAACAGAGATGCTACTGTAAGACTAGCAAAGATTTGAGTTTTTGCAACTTTTGATTGAATCTGTGGGTGAAACCCTACATTGTGACCAGTCAAATGAAAGCTACTGAACAATACTTTCCTGTGGTACTGTTTATTAAGCTGTGCAAGGTAGGGGTTAATGATTCATATTCCTTGCGATTTTATTTCGATTATTTTGATTTGAGTATGTAAATGTTTCTTAATTCTTATAACATAATGCGTGATGTAAACATGTAACCCTTAACGCTCAATTTGAAAATAGTAACAGGGACAGGAGGATTTACAGTCACTCAGTCGTTCGTCTCCATGTTTGAGAACCTTTCAGACAAAGAGTGGGTCACACAAGGTTTTCCTTATCTGGAAATTCTAAGGCAACACGAAATGGTGCACAAACTGCAATAGTCTTTGCTCATCATTCAAAAATGCACATTTTAAAGAGTTCTGGAATCTGATTTTACAAAATAATAACACACTGAGGGTACCCTGGAACAGGTATATTGCAAAAATCAAACCAAAATTGAAAAGTGGAAGCAAAGGGCGCGATCCATTCAACCAAAATTTCCGGAAATTTCGGTCCAAAACTCAATGGATCGGTTCGGTCCAACCGGAAAAGTTTCGAAAAAACGGGTCCACCTTTTGAGGTGGTCCTCTTTTCCCGGTCGGACCGGTTGGAATTTTGGTTGAATGGATCACGCCCAAAGAATCATGAATGGAACCAAACGGTCATAATCGCTATTAATCACGGTCATAATCGCAATTAATCATTAATCACCAATAGTACAAGATGGTTCTAATTATTGAGGTCTGTGGGCGAATTAAAAATCCTTATTAATGTGTGACCAGTCAAATGAAAGCTACTGAGAATTACTTTCCTTCTTGTACTGCATGTATACAAGGTGGCTCTAACTTTTGAGTCTGATAAAGAAATCCTATAGTGCAAACATTTTTTAAAATAAAACCTCTTTGGCAGCACTTTAACATGGTACCATTAATTTGTTTTCCAGTGAAGAAAGTGGCTGTTATAGAGAGGAGGCTGTTGTAGAGAGGCTTAAACAAGAGTTAATTGTATGGACTGTCTACTAAAAAAGATGACCGTGTAAAGACGTGGCTATTGTGGAGAAATGGCCATTAAGTAGAGGGTTGACTGTATAATTTTTTTCTCATTAACTTACCAACAGAATCACTCCTTTGAGAATGTACTTGGTCTCAATACCCACTTCCAGCAGCTCATTACAAAGTTTATCAAATTTATCCGGAGTTAATTTATTGAGGATCCTACAAGCAAAACAAACGACTCCATTAACTGTGCATTGCTGGAATCCATGTCTAAGCAAGGTTTTAGTAATAAATAGTGTCAAGGCTACAACTCATGTGTCCTGTGGGGGTTGGGTACCCCGCTACGTTGGCATGGTTTACTACTGTACCAAACTCATCCCAAGGCAGGGTGTTCATTAGGCATCAGAGAGTGGAGATTTCTCCATTACTTACGCAGAATTCTCCAGCAAATGCTCGGAAGCTTACATTTTGGTATATGACTAATTTTTATTCGAATGAGAGCCTCAATCAAAATATTCTCCTGTAATGTTACACCTTTGTCCTGCTAATAGAATTCTTATTGAAAACCCTGCAGGGTCTTCTCGTATATATAATGGTGCGGCAGGAGAGAAGACCCTGGTACACAGTAAGCTAAAATAATCACTGATTGGCTCATTGCTTCATTCTCACATGAACCATGATTGACTGAGGGCTTTCAAAGTGTCTTAGCTATGTACGCATCCTTCCTTTTTTTTTCAGATTTTTACAGATCTGTCACTTGTATTATTTGCATCAATACAGATTCCAATATTGGAAATTAGTTATGTTATCAATGATTAATTAACAAATGGGCAATGAGAATAAGGGCAAGATCACATAACATGAATCTGGTTGATACTTAAATAACTTCTCCCAACTACCTTCATTGGCAATGCATAGGGGCAACGGATGAGAATTTGAATTTTGATATTAGGGTTAAACATGCTCAGTGTCATGTTTACGGTGGCTGGAATGTGACCTTTCGGAAAAATTTAAATACTGTGTACTGGCCATCCAGTTGAACTATTAAAAAGTCAGCCATGCCAGAAAGGCTAGAAAGACTTAACATCAACAGACAAATTACGATTCAAGCTAAATACAATAACCTAGAAATAGCTGTAAACCAATAAGTAAAGAAATATAGCAAAATTGTTTTCTGAACAAGCAGCTGTGAATTAATTTTTTCCTTTTTATAAAAATTCCTATATAAAATACATACAATGATATACATTTGCGATTTATCAAAACCAAAATGTAGCCGTAATAAACGTTAATTCGACAGCTTGATTGCACTTAAAGCGTGCTGTAAAAAGCTCAAGGTGATACAGCTCAATTTCAGAATCCCAGTGTTTACTGTTACAGTTTAAGAAACTCTGAGGGGAAATTAGTCAAAATGTAAGGACAACTTGGGACCAGAGTCATTTAACTGTGGCAATCTAAAAAGGCTAAAGCATCATTACCCTCGGACCCGTCGAAAAACCGCTTCATCTTGGCAATATTGAAGCCGGTTTATTTGCGGAGGGACCCATCGTTGAAACTTTTGCTGCTGGTGAACTGTACTTGGCTCTTGCAAAGGCAGCGATGCGGGTACAACCTCCCTGACTCCGGAAAAATCCAAAGATTTTGCCCCGCGTCCGTCCACTTTCGTAGCTTTTCACAGTTCTTCAAAAAAGCGTCGGTGAAGGAAAACCTGCACAGGGAAACAAAGACGATTATCACGCCATCTCTTTCGTGTTCGTTTCAACCACATAGACAGGATTAAAGCGATTTTTGGATTCGAAATTCAGAATATTGATGATACAAGCAGAAATAGGCAGTGTAACTAACCGTAGAAAAAAAGAAAAGGGAAAATTATTGATGATCTTTACGCGCAATATTCTTGGTGATGTTCTTTCTTGTATCCTTCTTTATGTGACTTTCACAAGCTATCCCACCATGCAAAGAGGGCAGGAAAAGATTCCCACCTGGCATAGGGGGCACATAGATAAAATTCACCCATTCCGTTTCTAGCCTGCGAACAGCAAACGTATTTCCGGTCGTCACTTGACGACCGGAAATGCGTTTGCTGCTCCCAGGGCCCAGTTGTTCGAAGGCCGATTAGCGATTAACTCGGGGTTAAATTTAACCTGGGTTTCTTTCTCTTGTGTTCAAAAGCATTTTCTCGGATAATTTTCCCTGTTATTTTTAGAGCTTCCAATGATCAACTTGTAGACAAAACGAATTAAAACTGAAATACTTTTTAAGCTTTCAAATCTGAATTCAAATCTCGCACTAACCCTGGGTTATCTTAACCCTACTTATGAACAACTCGGCCCTGTCTATTCCGTTTCCTACTCCACAGGTTTCTGTCGGTGTTCCAGGCTTGTAGATATTAGGCTCTCTCCTCTGCAGAGGCCTCTTTGTGTTGTGGGGAGGCTGGGGAGAAAAAAAAGAGAGCGCGCGGGGCACGATGGGAAGGGGGAAGAGAGTTTCCCCCTTCCCATCGTCCCCCACGCGCTTTCTATTTTTTCGATAATTGACATTTTGATGGGGATACCCAGCGGGAGCCTCTGCGGAGGAGAGAGGATATTAGGGGGCTTAGGCAACGTAACGACCACGGCGACGGCTACGGCTACGAAAATGTCACTTAACAAGTGAATTCGCGCTGCATCAAACTTTGTGGCGCTTATTCCATCTAGTTCACAGTGAAAGCCAGATGAATGTCTCCAAACAGATGTGTTTGGTACCTGAAGTACTGATGAGCTCAAGCGACACCAGAATTGATGCACAAATTCAATTTTATCAAGATTATCTTGTGTCACCGAATGTCGTTGACATTGAGCTTGTTTGTTGGCGTCGCAAATGGTCAGAAGTAGCTGACAAATCGAGTCTTCCAACCAGTGCTTCAGCCACCCTTAGAGAATGCGACCCTATTTTCTTTCCCATCCTAGCTTGCGTACTAGGCGGGATTCTGGTGCGTGGGAACTTTTTGGTGACGGGCGGAGGCACCGTCCGAAGTGAGCGGCAAAGCCGCGAGGGAAAATTTCAAATTGATTTGTACGCACTCTTCTGGCGGCTCCGCCGCCAAAACAGCACTCCCACGCTTATCCCGCCATCTACGCAGGCTATAAATTCCCAACATAAATGTCCTTCTTTGCATTCTTTGGGTCTGACAGTGATGAACATCAATTATGGTATCGACATCGATGAGATCGTTAACATCTTTGCCACTCAGCATCCACGCCGCCTCCTACTAAGAGACACTTTGACTAATGAGCCAGATGAGCAGTGAGACTAAAATAGAGATATTTTTGTTATGTGGAACTTAATTCATCTATGCAGCATTTTTGAAGGCTTGTCACCTGCCCCCACGCTCACTGTTCATCCGAAAAAATGCCATCTTCAGTGAAACACGGCGTCGATTTCAATATGCCAATCTGGTAAGTACCCTGAGTGTGACAGAGTGTGATCCCCGCCCCCTTTGAAAAATCCTAGCTACGCCCCTAGTTCAATTCGTCAAATTTTTTCAAACTTTTTCTGGATTTGAATTCTAAAGGACTGTATCAAAGTTCAGGATAAGAAAAAGAAAGTTGTTGTCGTGTGTTCCCGTCCTCCACAAAACATGAAATTAGCCTGAGGCACTTCTACGTTGTAATCGTACAACGACGGCAAAGAAATGTACAAAAAAGCGTGATGCACGTGCAAGTTGTTTTTTTGCCAATCTAAACAAATTGCTTTTTTGCTGTTGTCATTGAACGGAGCTTCTCTTCTCATCGCGCCCCTCAGCTGGCCTCTCCCTGAAATACAGCACCTCCTGATCAAGACTGAAATAGCCTGGTCATTTTAGAATGAGCCTGGAACAGGCTACCATATCGCCCCCCAAACTCACAACAAAATAAAAAAAATGAAATCTTTGAAAAAAATATATGTGTACACTTGGGCAAATAAGCTTTTGATAAGTCAACATTCAGAATCCTCTTTGGAAACATAGTTGCTTAATTACTCCAACTGCAATGCAAATCTCTTAGTCATATTGCACTCAGTTTTTCTTCAGAAAATGACAACCTATTACGAACCTAAATAAATAGCCCTTAACTTGTGCTAACTACCATTTATATAAGAACCTGTTTAGGCCGTGCAAGGTTTGAAAACTAAAGCTCCCGAGACGGACCTCTGCCAAGCAAGCCGGCCACCTCATTTCCATACGAGAAACCAGTTTATTGTCTGAACTGTGTCGCCGATGTGTTTATATATACTCTTATGCTCACCTTTTTTTTCTCGGCGCTTACAGAAAACTGAAAACCTCTGGCACCCAGGGAGCCGAAGATCTGGAAAAACCTGCTCATTTCTAGATCCCCTTTCGGTCCATCATGTTGGCTACTTGAAAAGAGCTTTTCTACGCAGTATCAGCGCTGTCTAAAGCCTGGTTTTCGCCAGCGCATAAGCATTTAAGCATAAGCATAAGGACATACGCACGCGCAGAATGGCATATTTGACTCAATAGACCAATTCCGAGTTTTCCCGAGCCTCTTTTTCAAAACGAGTTTAGGTGCTCAGCCTTTGATATGGAAATCATTTTTCATTCTCATGCAAATAAAACTCATTTTCACAAGAAAGGTTGTGCACCTAGCCTCATTCTGAAAGTAAGGGTTTTTGGAACTCGGAAGTGGCCTATCCTCGATACCAGCTCTCCTCAACCCGATGATAAACAAGATGGCGGACGAAGCGTCCGCCATATTGCTTCTGATTTGTTCACATGAGGTCTGGGTCAAAGTGACCTATGATTGGTCCACAGCCTTGTGCTTATGCTTGTGCTTATATGGACCCAGTTTCCACTAGTCAAAGCTATGATAAGCATAAGCACAAGCACAAGAAGAACGAACTTGTCCGTTTTTCTTGTCCTTGTGCTTATGTTTATGTCGACCTAGTTTTCACTTGCTTACACATGTACTTGTGCTTATGCTTACGCGCTAGTGAAAACCAGGCTTAATGCTTTCAAGTTGTTACTATCGCTTGGCTGGCTGATCAGATCTAACCTTGTTCCCAGGGTTTTCTCCTATATACCCGTCGCCAGTTGAAACGAGAAGTAAACGTGGGCCGAGCTGATTTTTACAGAAAGTTCTGGGATAGTTACTGGAGACGTACCGGTCAGCTATTGGCCAACTTTTACCTGCCCCTAAAAACAGTCCCAGAAGGCTTTACGAAAGTGAACTCGGCCCAGTTCGCCTCTCGTTTCTAAAGTGGCAAATGCAAAGGTTAGGGAGAAAGAAACCCTAAAAACGCTGGTCACATGTCTTTCTGTCTCTCAAGTGAAGTAGAGAACCCTGGGAGCGAGGTTGGATCAGATTATCAGATCGGTTAGCATTAGGTAACTTAAACCAGATTGTCTCTTTCAGTAAAATTACATAAAGAACAACTTACGTCCAACTTAACTGACTTTACTGTGTAATATAAAATAAGATAGATAAACAGAACTGCATGGGAATTGCTTTTAGCCCGAGTCCGATTTGTTTCATAACCTACATCCATATCCACTACACCATCGAGTTTAAAGCTGCCAAATCCACTATATAATTTTTAAAACATGTATTATCCCATTACAATATTTGAAAGCTAACCATTTTAATCACCGCAGATCAGTGTTTATAACTAAGCTCTCCGGTATGTTCTCCCCATAACTGGCGCTTTGCATTTTTTTTCCTCCGGTTCAGCTATCGTTACGTTTGGCCGAATAATGCGTTATGTAAACCTTATAAGGTGTCCAATCTGGATTCACCCGATATTATCTAACGCTAACCCATCAGATCTAGGCTCCTGTGATCTTAGTCCTTGCTTGGGGCATTAAGAAACGATGACGTTTACGGTAGTGAGAGTCTGAGAACGTAACTAAATATTTATCGTGTTTACTCCAACCTGCCACTTAATTTGCCAAAGCTGGCCAATTTTCAATGTTTAAGACACTCTGAAGTATATGGAAGAAAAGAAAACACTGCCTCGGATTTTTTATTTCTCATATATTAACTGATAATTAAAGTAAAAAAGACTACTGCAAAGACTGATCATGCAACGTGAAAAAGCCTGAGGTATACATTACTTCGGCTGGCCATTACCAGTTTTCATCAGGTTTTCATTGTGTGTTTCAAAAGTTCGTTCCGATTGTAAATTGCATTTTTCGCAAAGCATTTAATGCTTCTTCAGGCAAATGTAAACTGATTCAGGTACAAAATTTATGTAAATAACCGTTCAAAGCGATTAAAAACTAAAATTTGAAGAAATTATAGTTTTTTTTTAATTTTTGTCCCAACTGTACACGTACGTGAGGTTTTCCCGCCATACTTTTTCTGCCCATTTTATAGGTTTTCTATTTTGGTATTTTAACGTTTTCTTTCATTTTCTCTTCTCCTTCACTGATGCCAATGAAGGCCTACACTGTTTGTGCTAGAGCTCAGGCATCTATTTTCATAGTCTTCCGACCATTCAGTCCTAAAAAAATTGCCAAATTGTTGAAGAAGTCTGAACGATGACCGAACAAGTGGTCAAAAGTAAAGACCTTAGAAGACAAACCAAGGAGTGAATGGCCCCCATTTTTCACAATTAACTGTGTGAGAAATATTATCGAAAAAGCTGTACGTATATGCGTAATAATTCCACAAAACAGAAAGGTAAAAAAAAAAT